ATCGATACGTTTAGCTTCAGCTTTTTTCCGATTGACACTCTGGATTTTGTTGGCATCTTCTGTAATATCTGGAAATTTCGTAGCCTCAATGATCTCAAGTGATGCATTAAGGTTCCTTAATTCTCTACGAAGACGAGTGAGACGTGATGAACCAGCATTAGCAGTTTTTGCTGATAGGGCTAAGGCATAAGCTTCAGCTCTTATATCTCTAATACTAAGTTTATCCCGTAAAAACCGTCGCGCCATATCTCCGATAGTTTCTTCCTTTGATTGTTTTGGGGGTTTGTTGGTGATAGCAGTATTTACGATTTTATTCTCGTTTTTCTGAATTGAGAATAAGGCATTTACTTGATCCTCACTAAACCCATATCTATTTTGCAAGATTCGTTTTGCTGTCTCTCTGATAATCTCTTCTTCTAGATTTTTTGGGGGTGATGCTAGAACTATTCTACAATTACCTTCGACAAGTATTTATAGTTTTATTTTTCCCACTCCTCTGATTAGGTATTAATACACCTACCTGTTTACTGCTAAATTTAAAACCATCCCGAAGACGTCTGCGCGCCTGATTCCGCTTTCTATCATCGGTAAGGTTCTCAAGAAATTCTGAGGTATATTTGCTGAGATCGGACACACCCATCTTGGGACTGAGATTGTATTTTTCAACGATTTTAGTTGCGATGGCTGACATGATCTAATGTTATAGTAGGTCAAGTAGTTTATGAATAATTCTTTAGGTTATATACACTATAGAAAATATTTTTTCAAATCGAAATTAATTATGCTTTTTCTGAGTATGGGAGGAAAAAGATTGTATATGCCTACATATGGGTAACTGGTCATCAGTTTGAAATTTACTAATATATAGGATATAACGAAAAAATTAGCTTTGAGTTGTGGAGACTCAGGCTATATTAAGGTTTGTGATTCATTTTTCTATTTCTAGTGTAGCTACCCAAATAGATTCTGGCATGATTCAACAGTTATAAGATATTTGCGATATATGTCTGGTCTGTTTGTAATATTTCAGGTGGCGGTATTACTGCTGGCTTCCATATATTAAATAAAAAGGCTGTGTGATCGGAATAACCATAATCGATATGTTCAGATATTTCTGAGTAATTTGATAAATCACTAACATGTTTATATCCATTGCGGATTAATTTTCGGAATGTTGGCCCATTTATGTTTATCATCCGGTCAGTTAATAAGTTGAGCACTTTTTCTGGAGTTTCCAATTCTTGATCGTTCATTTTGTTTATAGTATTTGTAATATTTTTATTGGAAAATTTTATATTAGCTAGTTTGTAGGAGCAAAAAATCCCCCTATATCGATGCAAAATTTACCTACCTATTCACTCCTTACTGATCGAATAATTTACCGTAACATACCATTTTCCTGGAGTATGTTAATCGTTTTTTTCCATTCCTCATCAGTATCCAGCCATGATGAGGTGATTCCATCTTCCTCGAGAGAACGGCGGATTATTTCTTCACTTATTAATCTTTCTCGCACTGTCATATCCATATATTCACTGGGGTCTTCTTCAGCCTCCTTTGCAAAACCACACATTCTCGCATCAGTCTGCATTCTATCGCGGAATGCTATGGAATCGAGCTTATCTTTATCAGTTATAGTAATGAAAATCTCTGGATCCTCACCAAGTTCGATGGCTTTTTGCCTTAATCGTATTTCTCGTTGCTCCCTGGTTTGATATCCGAGTGGGTATGATATCTGCTGGGGAGATACTTCAGTACTGTTTTTTGGTTCATTGTTCATAGGCAAGTCGAGAGAGATTTCGGGAGATTTAGATTTATCGTCTACGATTTCGGGAGACATGGATATATTAGTAGGGACAAAGTCCCATGATTCAGAGAATCGCCTAACAGCCTGCTTTGCAATAGACCCAGATGACGAAGCAACTGAACTTTCATTTGTTATAGAATCGAAGAGATCCTGGGTCATATCAGGAATAGGGGAGGTGGATGTTTTCCGATACGATTGGTATTTGATGAGGTGGGTTTTATTTTTTTTGGTTCGGAAGTTACGATTTCTGGGACATTAAATATAGGAATATCTGTGGATGTGTTGGTGGATATTTCGGTTTGAGGTGAGTCTGAAAATTCTTCGATATCACCTACTGATTCACGTAGCTTGGCCACGATTTTGGAACGATCGAGGATATACTGCCATTCTCTTTTTCCACCACCAGCACGTTTTCGTTCAATGTTAACCTGTGGGATTTTTTTCCCAAAATTATTATTACTGAATGGCTTTTCACCATTAGCTTCACACCATGTACGATACTCCTGATATAACATAGCACAACCTGGTTTTTCAATTTGATCTTCCGACCATACTGAAATATGATCAATTATGAATCGGATGGGATTTGGGAGATGCTCACGCATTGTCTCTGTTTTCATTTTAGTGGTAGGAATGGATTCCAATTCAAAAGGTCTTGATTAAGTAAATAGCTCATAAAAGATCCAGGTGTATCGGGATGGTTGAGAATTTTTCCCAATTGACCAAAATATTTAAAATTACCTTTACATCGAGGTGAAACATCTAAACATACAATACGACCATCTCCTTGCTCAACACGAATTGGGGCATCATGATTACTTAATACTATAAATCCAGGAAAATGGCCACATTCTTGATTTTCGAGACCTTTACGCTCAATTGAGACGTAATCTTCTGTAATTAGAGATTTTAAGTGATCGTTTGACTTATGCCATTCTCCACTTAACATTCCCGCTTCATTCATAATTATAAGTTTACGTCCTTGAATACTACTGTTGAATTTTCATCAAATATTGAAAACCTTTTTCATTTCATAATGCTGAGCTTTATTTAATCCAGCTGTACTTGATTTTTCTATAGTCATAGAGTTTCTTAATCAATCCAAAACTACCATCACACTTGAGTTTAGTATGTTCAGGTGTACCACGAAATTTAATTCGATACTTTCATAATAACCACAAATTACTAAATATAGGTAAAATCAAATAGTGATATTATTTTTATTCTGATCACTTGCATTGTCGCAAGTAATTTTTAAATGTTTTTCGCCTTTATTCAATTTCTTTATTCCATAAAATACCATGCTCAGTGTACCATTAGGACCTTTGCCGATAATGTTGTCTTCATCGAGTATGTAATTAATTTGTTCGCGTACCGAATAAATTCAATAACCACAAGAAGATTGATTTCGCGTGTTTGAAAAATCAAGCCAATCGGTATTAGTATATTAATATGCAAAATCATACTTAATATTTCGTTTACACACATCAACAACAGTTATCACTAACAAAATATGTGAATTCTATGAGCATTGGATTACATTAGTAATGATTGACGACGAAAATGTCTTTGCCGATTGTCATTTGCAAATTGCACACACATCGGCAACAGTTACAATTAACAAGCGTATAAATTGTATGAGCGTAGGGTTCTTGACGACGACGAAGATCGATTTTAACATGTCCCATGACTATTAACACATCTTACATCTTAATGTGGACGTTGTTTGCATATCATCACTTGTGTTCGAATAAAATTTTATTCAAGGCCGGATATTCAACACCAGAAACCCAGTCTGTAATTGATTTGAAACAACCTATACTCCTGCCACAGGCAAGGGCCGATGACATTGATCTCAACTCTCATCAGCAAATTGAACTTATATAATTAATTTAATCAGGTCGATGAAGGAACGTTGTCATTGCGACGGTCACGTTGATCAAATATACGTGTCCAAAGATTTTTGTAACACACTATATAAGATTTCGGTTCAGTATTCATATTTAATCCGTATAAGTAGAATTTTAGTATTACCAGCACGTGACCTGAAGAGACCATGATCGTTACATGAACGAACTTTGTGGCATCAAACAATATCAGTCCTTTCAACGTCAATACAATTAGACCCGCATAAATTCTGAATAGTAACCATTTTATTATAACGTATATATGGAAAATGGAATTCTCATAAGCTTACCCTCGAAGTTGTAACATGGGTAAACGAGATAAGAAAACTGGGAAAGGTGAGAATGCCGCGTCGTTCTACTGGAAATCCCTCTTTGTTTCCTGTCAGGTTTTCCTCCTTTTCGGATAATAAAGCGGTAACATACGACGAACAATCGCCTTATTCTCTTCACCCTCTATCAATTGCATAAGATCCACAGATGCTGTTCGCAATTCTTTCAATGACTTCTCAACTTCCAGTGTCTCATCGTCCTGCCTCAAATTCAGACAACCGTACAGCTCTTTGCTTATCCCAAAAAGCGCGCATGATATCTGAATCTTCCTATTCTGCCCGTGACTTGATAGAATATTATAACGATGTCCTTCAGTACCAATTTGCATATACAAAGATAGATAGGGCAATATGCAATCTGCAGCATCTTCCATCTTCATATACGCAGGCGTGAGTTTTGAGGTGGCGTCCACGCGATATGCTGTCGTTGTAACGTGATTTTTGACCTGTACTAATATAAATGTAACACTCTTAACATCCAAATTGCCATCAATTAGAACTGGAATCACTAAATCGACACCCCTCTGACACTCTTTACAATAAACTGCCGCTCCACGCTTGGCAAACTCGAGTAAATCATGCTTCGTTGGTGTGTAAGATACTCCCGCAAAATGGTTGAAACGAACCCATCCCTTTGCCAACTCCGTGTCCTTTATGTTTTGCCAGATATCCGTAAAAACTTTCTCAACAAACAGCGACCTGAGGTAATCATAGATAATTATTGGTTCTGCAAATTTGATACTCAAGGGAGAAGATCGAGCAGCTGCATGTTTATCCCAAGCCATCAGCAAAATAAACTGAGCAATAGTCTCTCCACGGTAACCACGTAGAACAAAACCTTTTCTGATTCCCTGAATCCAATGATTAAGGATGTTGCTAATCCTAACATCCTCATGATTCATTATTGCTGCTGCTGCCATGGCTAAAGGAGGTTCAGATGGTGAGGCTGTGACAACTGTTTGACAATCCTCAGACATGTACATCATCAAACGCATATAATTCGAGACCAAATCAGTTGCCAACTCAGATTGCGGTGAAATATCAAGGTGAAGACGTGAATCGAGGATGCAATGGCCATACTGAAATCTCATAGTTTTGATTGTGCAAACCCAAGTTTTGCCATTGCTAGCCTTACTAAACGGACAGGATACTCAGGATCAGTAGCTGAAGACAACTGTGCATACCATAAAGGCCTGCCAAATCGGAAAACATAGTCACATTTGGCAGCTTCATTCAATGTCCTTGGTTCCAAAGCAGCCTTATGAACATGGATGTCAAATGTGTCAAGTAGATAGTATGGAGGGTACAGTTCATGACTCCCACTCTGTACTCGCAAAGAAGGATCATGTTTACCCTGTGGTGCAAAATTGGACAGTTTCCCCATTGTGTCTGTTACAACAGCAAAGATACAATAATCTGCATACTGTACTTCAGCAAGCATATGCAAAATGATCTGAAGCCAGTAATAGTGGTCTATTGGTTTTTCTGTAGATGGAAGCAAATACCGCGTCTCATCAAATGCAAAGACCAATTTCAATTTGCTTGGAATACGGTCAAGCTTTTCCTTATACCTTACAACAAAGTTTTCATAATGTTTTCTGAGCTCGTTTTTGATTCCCAACTTATTAGGACCTTTCTTATTCCCTATAATTCTCATCAAGAACATAATTAATTTGTTTGTGCACTGCTTCATCTTGAATATATTTATGGTGATCATTAAAATTTTGTGGAATAATAATAACAAGGAAGAAGGTTTGCTATAATAATAAGACTGATTCATTGTAACTTATCAAGTTCTGATGAACAACACACTTCTAAACCCAATTTTCTTGATACTCATTTGATCAAAATACTGTAGGTATCATTCAGGTGTTTGATGCTTGATATGTCAATACTGTGCTCTGTGAATACATCTAGAAACTCATAAACTCTCCTTCACTGTTTTTTATCTAGCTCTAAGAAATTCAAGTATAGTTGGTGTTTTCTTTTTCATTATAGTTATTGGAAAGTAAGATGGGTGATGAGAGTGTTGACAGTAACAATGTGCATAATAATAAGGGGAAGTATAGAATGCATATTATAAAGTCAGTATGGAGACACTCTTCCCAGTAATAGTAATAGTAATAGTAATAGTAAGTCTTTCCATTTCAGAAATCAACTTGTCTAAATACCAATCTACCTTCTGTTCAACCAAGACTTGAGAACCTTTAAGAACAATCATTATATATATAATGATGTTTGATTGATTGGCAACAAAAACCAATGTTACATACTTTCATGTCATCTGCATCAAACAACTTCCTTCTTCCCCTACTAGAATATAGAATGGCATCTGAATCAAGTATTCTTCTCTGCCATTTTCTTCCAAAACCACATTAACATGTTGGTCTTGCATCCAATGTTTCAAATGTTATGTGAGGATATTCCTTTGTTGGCATATTAACATTAGTTTTTTGCTCCAAAACAGTGGTGAACAAGTGCAAGGGCCAAGCTCAATTATTTTACACCCAGCCAGTGATCCCATATTGCTTATCCAGGTCTACTGCAACTCTGTTGAGGATGTAACCTGCATCCTGTTCCTTGAGTTTGTTGAAAAATTGTGCTGCTTGGTTGAGGTTCTCCCCCAAAAGCAGACTTTCCATTGCATGCAAGAGACCTCCAGTATCTGATAACAGTTGAGTAACCCACAAATAGAGTTTCCATTCATTCTTGCATGCAACAGATTGCATTGCAAAATCCTCAATGAATCCCATATTGAACTTGTTCCAAACAAAGAATACATAATAATATAAATAAGCAAGATGGATGCTGAGAACAACAGTAGGTGTGAGGCTACTGTCATATGCATCAAGCATAACTCTATTAGTGAAGTTGAAGAGCACCCACTCCAGATGCAGTTGAAGTTCATCCTGTATCCATTCAGGTGGTGGCAGCAGTGTCCATTCTGCTTTCAACCCATCAAAAAGCTCCTGATCAAAGCATGTTTTGCTTGACAAGTTATTTGATGGTTCATGTCATAAATTTGTGTACAAGTTATTGTTGTGATAATCAAAATGCTATTAGTATTAGTCAAATCAGTCAACTTTCAGTCACATCAGCCTCTCATTTCTGTCACATAATAAAATATTCACTTTGTCTGCAAAAAATACATCGCCCTACAACATACAATAAATATTTTGTTCACATTAATCACATCCAAGACGTCGATCCACTCAAAGCTGTATAATGAATCAAATGGGTCAGTATCTATTGTTAGTAAAGTAAATGAGTCTTGCAAATGTTATACCAGTTTCAATGGTACACTGGTCTCTAGCTTTGTTGCTTAACTTCATGCTACTCTACAGAGGCTGACGTCATTTTCATGTGTTTGTACTAGAATTAAATATACACATGAAATCAATTTATCTGTTTAGCTTAAATTCAAGTTTTAACATGCCAATTTAGTGCATCAATGATTTTTTGCATATTAAATCCAAATAAATGTGAAAAATAATAGTTATTGTATATGTTCTAATGGATATCGACTCATTCATACCAACTATTGTGGATTTTGGTCAAAACACCAGATGATCAACCGATTTCATCATTTTATACTTTAGACTAAATTCGAATAAGCTTAAAATGTTAAATTTAACATGCCAAATTAGTGTACTCGTACTTTTTACCGGACCAAATGTTGAGTATTGCGAACGTTATATCAGTTTTAACGGTACAGATACCAGTTATTCGAATCTATTTCACGCCTAACATGATGCCAATAAAGATATGGCATTTCTATCGTCATACAATATTTGAGCGTATTATTGAAGGCTATATTCTCTCACATGATGACCGAAAAACTGTAGTAATGATATCTCATCCCGTTTTTGTTAAATGGAAAAAATCATTGACGTACGAATCCACAACTAAAACCACAATAATAATGTTACGTGATTGAAGTCATGAGTATGTACTACGTTTCACCAATTATTTCACACGATACGGTAAACAACATCATGTTATGGTACGAAAGACGCAATAGCTAGCTACGTACATTATTCTCGAAAATACCCTTAAATACTCTCTTGAAATTTGTTCGTTGGGGAAAGTAACTACTTGCCGCACTACCATAAACCGCATGTCTCCCCAAAATCCAAACAACTCCTTCTATCAAACCTAACACCCGATCTAACTTCACCCACACTTCTTTTCAACACATTATATTCAACACCAACCATCAGCGTCTCATGCTTCCACAAAAAGGTCCGAGTCAACACACTGGAATATGTGAATTGAATGAAGGATTATCGAACGACGCCGGCCAAACCGGTTGAAAATAAACCGTGCAGTCCAGAAAGTAAGTTCAATATACTGTACAATTATATTAACACCATTCTGACAGTATTTACATAACTTCTATCTAGTCCGTTGTTGTAGAATTCCAAGGGCCAATATTTAGTATATTTAATCTTAATGTATTGCCATACTGTAGATTTTATGTCAAGTATGTTGACTTTAAACTAAGAGTTTGCATATATTAACCCGAACGTATGACATGACAATCATAATAATAACTTAAACAATCAAGGAATAGCTTTATAGTATGACTAATAGACAGTGCCTACTGTATTTACAAATAACGATAATGATAGAACCCGTATTATGTATTGTGCAGCACAACTCCCATTATGGAAATTAACATCCGATCAAGAGAATGTTCTCTCTTCGGAACATCGACGGAAGTATGTGGAACGAGGATGCAAACACAATCTATATCCTTAGTCTATCCTTACAAAGTTTGACGGTTCAAACGCGATCCCTTGCAAACGGCTCGAACGTTTATCCGGATAATCATTTTACTGGTGACGCAAATGGATACGATCGTCAAATGAAACGCGGTCAGATCGTCAATTATAATTAGGAGACTTGTAACTATTACTATTACTATATAAATAGATAACGATAATTATACAACTAAAGTAATACAACACTGTTTTATCAAGTTCAAGTAGAAGTTATATCACCCATTGTGATACCGAACAAATATACTACACATTATATAATGGCCAACAGTCTGTGTTATGCAAGTCCAAAGTATTGTCCAAAGCATTGTTAAGAATGCGGACTAGTATCAGTTATTCCAAAGACTCAAAAAGACGAATCAACACTGCCTACCTATGTTCTGAGTATGGTTTACATTATAATCTATCTATAATGAATGGTGGAACGAGAGACGACTACTTCAAAAATATCTGATTGCAACCGTTTTGCAGATACTGGAAAAGTATAAATAAGTGATAAACCTGCTTTTCATTATCCAGAATTGGAATTCAACCGTGCTTTGATCATCCAACCTTTTTTCGCATAAACAAGTACATACCCGATTAGTAAATTGGGAATTCCAAATGTGTTGTGGGGGGGAAAAACTTTTTTTTTGTTATTGTAGAACAACATCCCTAGCTAACCTCAGCGAACCAACGACTGATTGGTGGGCTATACAGTAATCGTCAGACATGTAAACGTCCTATTGGCGGATCTTGTGACACAACACGGTGCAACCGAAAAACCTATACAACATCCTTGCTCACTACTTTTTATCAAGTAGCTGTACTTGCGCATCGAATATAGCTCCCTACAATGTGTCTTCCGTCTTTTACCCAGGATTTCAATCGTTTGTACGTCGACACTACATTGGCTGACTTGACGCTAATAGTAGGTGAAGAGCCCAACACTGAGGAGATACGCGTACACTCACCTATATTATGGGCTAGGTCACCTTTCTTTCGAGAGGTGCTGAATGCTCTTCAGGCGAAGAGGACTACATTCGAACAAAAACTAAAGGTTCCTTTTATGGATCCTGAAGTGTTTCGCTCCGTTCTCAAGTGAGTAATAAGCTCGGTATTTGTCATGGGCCGAATACAAAAATTTTCATTTGCTTAGGAAATATCCCAATGTTCATTAATGGATCTTGTTTCAAATGCGCAATTACCACCTTTACTCTTTTATCATGCTAATGCATTCCATCTGTTTGAATTCTCCCCAATTCAGATTCATTTACACAAACAACTTTTCAATGAAACGTAACAATGGTATAGACTTCCTTGACCAACTTGTTGCTGCAGACGATCTCCAAGTTTCAACCCTAATCTCTTATATTCAAGATAAAATCATACAAAACCAACAGACTTGGCTTAAAGATAATCTCATGCGTATATGGCAATCGCTTGCTGACCGTCCGTCATGTGAAATGTTATACAATCATGCTCAATCCATCATTGCGTCAAAACCAGCTGTCATGTTCAGCTCAAAAGAATTCCTCGCACTTGAGGCCGATTTTCTAGTATCCATTGTGCAAAGAGACGATTTAATTAGAGAAGAAGCTGCAATATGGGAAGATGTAATACGCTGGGGCATTGCACAGCACTCTCACTTGCCTGAAGATGTAATGACTTGGACAACCGAAAATTTTGCTGCGTTACGAAACACTATTAAACCCATCATACCATACATCAGATTTTTCCAAATACCATCAGCCGAATTTCGCCGTAAAATCATACCGTTTCAACAAGTGCTCCCAAACCCTCTTTACCAAGAACTCCTCTCATTTCACTTGGAACCTGGCTATGAACCACCCATTCCTATCTTGCCCCCACGGCTATCTCAATCTCCAGCAAAATCTTGTGAAAAATCTCCGTCCTTGTCTTCGCCTCTGCGTAGGACTTATTTGACAAGAAACTGTTTTGCTAATGCTCCCGTTATAGAAATCAAGCGAGAGCAGGAATCTGAAGCTGAATTCCCAGACGAAAAGAAGATTGCTGTTTCCCGGGAGGGTAGTCCTCGTGCTCGTTATAGAAAACGTCCTTCTCCTTCTGATAGGCGCATCATGCAACAATTTAGGTTGTATTATGACTGGAGAGCTTCTTTACCTGGAAAGTTAACTCAAGTTATGATTGCGCAAGAAATGGAAAAGATGATTAATGATAAGACACGTGTCACCACGACTATCATCTCTCAAGCGTATAACATGAAAGAAATGCCCAAAAATGAACTGAAGATTCGCGCTTTTAAGATTTGGATAGACAAACAGAGAGAAAAGATGAAACATATGAGGAAAAATTAGAAACAAAGAAATAAAAAGAAGAGAAAAAAAAAAAAAGAACAGTGAATGCAAAAAAGAGAAAGACTAGAAGAGGAAACAGGCAGTTTGCGCGTTGAGAGTGTTTATGCGATAGCATTAGTACTGTCGAGAAATGCCACGACGGTCTCTATATGAATTGTAAGCACGTAGTAGATGAAGTAGTTTATCTGTTTATTTGCAAAGAAGCAAAAAAGATAGTTCGTTGATTCTGGATGAGTAACACTAATCTCGTCCTCGTATTCTAACGATACCCATATTCTTGACGACGTGAAATGTTGCAAATTAATGTACAGATTCAATAAATTTAATACGCAACGACTGTGAGCTTCTGGGTAAATAAAAAAAATTCTATTTATAGATACTTGTTTGGTAAATAAGTATTATCATATAATATTGAAAATGTCTTTTGTATGTGTGCCTGAGTTATACTATTCATATTAGAAAAGCCATCTTCCATCCATATCCACAAAACTCTAAAATGAGAAATATTCCAGTAAAGAATATAAAACTTTTTTTTCCCTTCTTGACCGTGTGTACAATGTGCTTCCTTAACAATAAATATATCGACAGTATTATCGCCAAGATATCTTGGGATTTTCCTTTTAACCTCTCTACACAAACAAAAAGTGGGTTTCGTCATTTATTAGCGTTTAAACTTTTCACCAATAACAAAGCAACCAACACATTCTCCAAACCTTTTAATTTATTGCTAAAACTAACCTGAATAGCTTCAATGTATTCTTTCAATTTATCACTTCCTCTTTCGACAGCAATTTTGACAGCCTCATAATCGGTTGCAGCTTGCTCGGCAAACTTCCTTGCAATCTCCCGTGCTGATAATTCTATATTATTCAAATCCAACCCATCAGGCTTGACAGGTTCCTCACTACGGCCAAAGTAGTCTTCAGAAGATATAGAAGTAGCTCCTTGGAATTGACGCAAACGGTCAGATGCCGCGGATTGAGCCTCAGTGTCGTAGGCGTTACGGCCAAAGAATTGGTCAGAGGAAATAGATTTTTGATTGCCAAATGTTTGTCGTGCGTAATTTACGTCTGCGTTTGAGGAACTGCGAGTATCTGGATTTAAAATAGATTGTAAATATGAACTAAAGCGTTAGATGGACTCGAAAGTGATTAAAGAAGGCAAATTGATAAAGAATAAGGGCAACGAGCGGTAAGTAAATAAAATAGCCTTCCATTCACACGCTCAATGGTAACATTGCCCCAGCCTACCATTCTCTAATGAAAAGAATTTCAGGATCGTTCACGCAATTATAAGCAGATTTTTTTTTTGTTTTTTGTTTTGTTTTGTTTTTTTGCTTTATTCACATCCAACGCCACAATGAACCCTACCTTCGTAATCCCTCGAAGTCTTGAACGAATTTGACCCAAATCCTGTATACTTATCCTCTCTTTCCACAGCAGTCTTTTCAGAAGGTGCACCAATTGATCCGAAACCCAGCCTCGAAATTCCCATACCGAGTCTATCCATATCATCATTCCCATTCTTTCTGTTTGAACCAATATCTGCCCTCCCGTCTCCAAAAGAGCTTGAACTATCGGTATACGCTAACCTCGAACTAAACGCTGCTGATTCCTCTGATCGCTCTTGCGCTTGTTCACTGCTGTTACGGGAATAACTAGTGCGAACGGAAAATTCTTCTTCCTCCTTGGCTTTTTGTTCCGCTTCTTCAATATTGCGCTTGACAGCAACAGCACCGAGACCTTTTTTAGGCTTTTTCGACGCGGTGGGTTTTGATAAAATTTTCGATTGAGTTTGTTTGGGTTTTGTGAGCGTAACGGAAGATGACGGCGTCGTCGAGCTGGGCTTTGCATTTCCTGACAGAAAACTTTCAAAAAAGTCATCATTTTGTACTGAACTCGGTTGCTCGTTCTCTTGCTGCATCAACACAAAGCCAGGATCGTCTAATGCATCTTGTTTTGCCCGGCGTTGTAATTCTTCTTTGTACTTTACTGCTACGCGAGAGGTATACTTGGCAGTGACGTCTGTTTTATTTAAAATATTGGAACCATGTTTTGCGAAATATGCAGAGGCAGAGGCGTTGCCGCCCACTTTCATAATGCGGAGTTGATCCCATGTCCACGAGTCTAGAGAGGTGGAGCGAACAAAGCTAATATGGACGCCGAGATTGCGATGAACGGAGGAACAGTCGAGGCAAAGATATATTCCATATGTGACGCTCGCCCAGGAAGGATTTTTAGCGTTGCAGTCAAAACACATCTTTGATTGAGAGCCGTTATAGTAACGAATATTTGTTTCCAATGGGTATGGAAAGATAAAAAAGAAAAAGTTATTCGCTTCTGTTAGAATCATTTATGGTGTGTTGAATGGGTTTGACACAATTCTGTTTTTACCTTGTTTGCTCTCTGAGCAGTGAATTTCTTGAACGTTTCGCTGATCTGGGCTTTGGTCGGTTCGCTCATTATGAAGCAGTTTAATTAGAATGTACTAGCAGATCTATTGATGTATAAAGAGATGCTTTGGGAAAACTGGACGTAAAGTGAGAATGTGGTGTAGCGTGTCACATGAACAATGAGAATAATAGGATTGGTTGGCATATATTTACACCGCAAAAACTATTTATTATAGATTGTCGGTTAGTGTGCACATTTCAAGCTATTAACATATTTAGTAATTGTTATATCTATAAATAAGAAATAAGTTTTTGTCGATACTTTGTAAATGGTTTCTTCGCCATCATTTTGGTTAATTCCGATAACAATGGTGATCCTTCGACCTATAAGCAGACATTGTAAAAAGATTATTATTATGTTTTCATTTGACAGACCAGCGTTTCGAATCTCAGAGTTTATTTTTTTTATTGTATATCGAGAAATAAACAATGCATTATCTAGAAAGTACAATTTCAAGAATTATTTATTATTATCCCAGAATGACATTTATCATTATTATTATTACTTCTGTATTATCTTCCGTTTGTAATTCTTGGCAGCAATTCTTTATTAGACTAATTTGAAATGGCTAGTTTGTGCTATTCAAGTGGGGCTATTGACAAAAAACAATTAAGTCTGTAGAATTGGACAGAACGAATAAGCCAGTGATGGTAGATAATGGGCCTGATTTATTGTAACTTTAGGATATCGTCACTAATTTTGCAGCTTTGTATTCAGCTTTTGTTATGTATACGAATCCATTTAGCAGCGTCGGGCCACGTTTCAGGTCCCAACAATCGATACTAAGAAAAGAAAAAGTAATCAACAATATGCCCCAGTAAACAGGTACCAACGATCATCAAACGTTATTATTATCAACAATCTTCACCCATTTGGGTTAAAAACATACTCACTTGCATAGGTGTAGGAACACCAAATAACACCAACTTCCAAATCTCAAACCCGAACTTCCATAGCACTTTCGTTAACGATGGGTAACAACCAATCTCCTTTGCAATTGAATCGCAATACGGCCTCAATTCAATCTCCATGGTATGTCTGGCCGCTTCATAGAAATGCTTGCGATTTCGACCATGGTAGTCCATGATGTGTTTGTCCATCTCTTCGGGTGAGGGGAGAGGAGGAATCTCGGCTTTGATCAAGGCTGTTACATAGCGGGCTTGAAGTTCACTATTAAAAAATGTGCCGGATATTCATTATTTTAGCAGTGGAGACTTTTATTGCTGCAACAATGTGTAAGAACTGATCGCAACCGCTTACCACAAAGGCATGAGCGCTCCAACTGGCTGTACAAACCCCAAAAAAGCGATATTACTCCACCTTGGAGGGAACATAAATTTATATAGCCAAGTAATATTTTCCCTATATTCTCCTTCATCAAAGTTCTTTCTAACAATGTCCCCACCGTTGACAACTTCCTTATCCACAAAGCGTACTTCATTGTTGTACCCAGTACAATAAATGATAGCATCAATATTATCAACAATAGTGTTATCAACAAATGACACGGATCCATCGGTCGTTAGCGATAAGATATCAGGTTTAACTTCAATGGTTCCGGTAGAAAGTCGTTCAAGAAAGTCCGATTTCACTGTTGGATGAGCAGCAGACAATGGATATGGCGAGCGGAGGTGCTCGGGGGGTAGGCCGATCGTAAGTGAGATAGTTACACGTAGAAGAAAGTTGGTGATGAAGCGAGGTAGCATGCCCCGGAAGCGCGAATTTGAGTGATCAAGTGGGCGACCAAAGAGTACCCTGCGGGGCATGATCCAGGGAAGTGTGCCTTGTAGGAAGAGCAAGTAGTTGATTGTAAGTACGTCACGCGTGAAAGGGCAATAAGTAACAAGATTTTGATACCTCTTCGACAGACGATGTAGACTTGCGATGCAACGTGCGACAGCTCTACGGATATGTCCATGCCGCTGGAAATAATGCAAACTGTTAGATGTTAATTGATATTAAAGAACATCGGCAATCACTTCGTATTGCACCTGTTGCCGGCTCCAACAACCACGACGCGTTTGCCGGTGTAAGCAAATGGTCTGTAATATATTACTGTTAGTTTTCTTACATACGCGCATGTGTTTGACTCATTAAACAGTCGTGTCTACTTACTCTCTGTAAAAGTGAGAATGCATCTGCTTACCAGGGAATGTCTTCATTCCTTGATAATTTGGCAACCGAGGAACACTATGGTGTCCAGTACATACCATGACATAGTCAAATTCCTCCACATCCTCTTCTCCATCCTTCTTTGTTGATACAATTTTCCATTTCTTTGTCTCTGGAATCATAGACGCGTTTAATACAGTCGTCTTGAATCTGATATGTGGCCATAGATTGAAGTTATCCGCATATAGGTCGCCGTATCTATGGGGGAATGTAGATCAATAAATTTATTGATTCAAAAGAAACGTGTCAATGATCCCGTTTCTTAGCATAATATTTACTCTGATACTTTATAGTGTGGAAGATATGTCGGCCAATCTTCCGGAATTGGAAAATCAGAAAATGGCATCTGTAATGCAAGAAAAATGAGCCTTTATAAAATGATAAACTAATACTAATGCGAGGATACATACATGTTCTTTGGAAGTATTGATAATCGTACTACGGTATACAGAAGAATGCGGGTTTTGATTTTTCTCGGAGACATCTGTGTATCGCCATAATCCGCCAGTATGATCGCTTTGTTCGAAGCAGACAGGTTGCAAGTCAGCGACCAAACATTGCTTAATAGCAATTAAACCAGTAAGACCTTAAGTTAAGCATGTGAGAAAGTTTCGAAGGGGAAAGTATATCTAGACCAACGTTCATTTTTATCATACCAGCACCGATAATTGCAACGCGAGGTTTATGGTCCATAGACAGTTTATGATATTATTTGACCAAGCATTTTGGCCGTGGGATTTGATGTATTTAAAGTTTCGGTTAACGAATAGATTGTAAGCATCAAGAAGTGCGCCTTAACCAAACAACGTAATGAGATCTAGTACTAATCCATGAGCATTAATTAGTCATAAAGGACAACTATAATCTAGTATATCACAGTACCACTTTCTACAACGTACGCGAATAAACTGAGTATTATTTAACATGTCACTGAACCCCACACAAGACTAACGATATGATGACTGAACCGCGCAACATATCAGCAAAGAGAAACTGCCGTAAGCACAAAAAAATGGAACAAAGTAAAAGTACAGCCGGAGACATAACCGCGATAGTTCAAGATTTAATGATGTTGCAAGAGTTGTAAACTTGCCCATCAATACGTTAAACAGATGCCTATCATTAATTTTATGTGCGTCACGATACCTCACTTCACGCTTGGGGTGCTATATAAGTGAAAGGCCATTTGACATCAAGTCAAATAAAAAGGGAAAAGTCAACAAAGCACAAGCAGATGTATAGGCAATTAAGTATCTGACTTAAAGGTAGTTAATATAGTGTTACATAAGCCTTTGTCTCAATAACAGTTTCCCCGCGCTGTTTATTAATGTTTCGGAATGTATTTCACATTCTCGGCCGGGTAGAGTTCATTCTCGTATATTCAGTCCAAGTCCTCATAGAGGAGTCTATCCAAACCAATAAAAAACCGCCATATGTCTACGTGACTTGGTCGAGATGCAACACATGTGAAAGCTGTCAAACAAAGAAGACTAAACACAGTTTCTTCAATCGTGAGCAGTCATTTAATACAAGCGAATCCGAAAATCAAACGGGAATGGTCTTTGTTTTGTGCCCATAAAGTGATTTTTGACTCTGACACCTAATCTTTTCTATGTCCCTTAATATTTTGAAATTCACCACGGTTAAGATTATCGGCAGCTTGATTGGAGGAGTTACAACATGTTACAACTAATCTCGATAAGAAAGATATAACATTTAACATTACCGAAACCCTTTAACGTTCGTCCTGGATATGATATGAAATATGTCGTGTCAATTATTTTGCTTTTGATGGAAAACGATACGACGAACTTTTCGATAATGAGAGATTATTTGATACCTTATCTACCATAAAACAGAACGAGACACCTGTTCAATGGGCAATACGAGTAAGAATTCCATTACAAGATTTGTTAAATTCAGGAAAATTTAGTATATATCATCGATATTGTCTATTTATGTCATATGGTCAAGGTAAATTTGTCAATTTCAATTATCATAGGCCAAGAATCCATAAAAGTCGTATGGCTATTTGCTTCGATTGCTGGAAACTCATAAAAATCGATGACGTGAATCCTAAAAAATCATTCCATTTTACTAGACAGAGGTATATTGATTGGCTCGAACCTAAAGACATGATGCAGGAACATTGGGATCACGAATGTAATAAACCGAAGGCAAGAATTATACAAATAGCTTATCGAAATTATAAGAATAGACCCGAATCATTAGCAACCCAAGCTTGGAATGCAATGAGAAATGATGGTACTTCTGATGATGAAAAATTTAACTACTTGTAAAGTAAAAAAATCCTCAAACTCGAGATCAATCCAATCAGTGGAGAGCTGAGCAAATTGCAATGTATAAAAGATGTAATAACCCACAAATGCTTAGTTTCTTTCATAATAGTAAATATGAAGAATATTATATTGTGTATGATTGGATAGGTAGAAAGAAAAACCAATTACGAGATAGATTTAGTAAACATCTCCAACAATTAGAAGTGTAAATATATCAATTAATTCATATATATTTATTCGATTAATAACTATTTTTCATCAATATATACTGTATTTCATAATTTTTTGCCTGCAAACTTTTTACGCGCAAACTAATAGTCAATGTTTCATCCTGATTACAACCCCATTATAGCGAAGCTTCCAAAAAGTCTGGTCAAGAGGGCATACCACAGACTTTTATACCACTCTAAGTCCCCCATTACATCAAAGCAAATTTCTGAAAAATGTGATCGAATTGAGGCTTATTTGTACATACATTAGAGGTATATGAAAAAGGATTAAATTGGAAGCGTAAAAAACAAATCCAAACTATAGAACCACTTAAAAATTTATCGTATAATAGAAAAACTAGTGTCAAGGCACATACAATCATGACTAACCAGGAAACTCAAACCCAAGATACTGTCCCGACCTGTACTCAGGCACAGGACGTCTCTTGCTTTGCTTGTTTTTATCCTGTCTTTTAATAACCCAGGATTAACCCAATTATTTTTTTCACATTGTTCCGAAGAACATCAAGGTTTTCATTGTTAGAGTCACACAAAGCTTTGATCTGCACTTTCCAACTTCTAGTCACATGAACGTGTCCTCTCACATGATTACTGCTCTTGAAATAAATTCAGAAAAATACGTTCTATTTGCGCGAAAGACTATGTCAAATAAAATACACAAATATTTCGATACCGCATATTCCCGATGAAATATTCGCGATTTTTTGGATAAATGTGATTTAGAACCACTCGGACAGAAGACAGATTGTTATGTTAGGTGTCTTAAGACCATTGCTAATCGCGAGACTGATCGCAGGCGTGAAAAAGCACAGGAACTACTCGACAGGTATACGAAGGCGAGTATATCTTTTTTTTGAAAATGTAGATAGAGAATAGGTGACGCGTCTAGGATTTACGAGATCCCCTGACGTTCAAGGTTCCGAGCCGAGTCACAAAGCCAGTGTTGGAGCGTATACGACTTACGAGGTCGTCTTACGTTCAAGGTTACGAGCCGATCTGACACTGGCCCTGCTGGAGCGTATACGACTTACGAGGTCGTCTTACGTTCAAGGCTTCGAGCCGACCTGGCAGGAAGAAAAAATAGATAGGACATGTTATTAGATAGAGAACATTATTAATTTTCTGAAAGTTTTTTCATTCAGAGTACTCGGCCAGATCGTCAATTAGCAAGAAGTTGGGATAAAGAACGTTCTTATAAGAATAAATCAGCTGAACCTTCAGTTCACGTCCACCATCCAACGTTTATAGGAGGAGGGACTGTTAGTGGGATTATAAACTCTGAAACTTTCATTTCCGGATCATCAGAAAAGGATCAGAAAAAGGCACAGGTACAGTACCATGAAATTTAATTCGATACTTTTATAATAACCGCAAATTATTAAATACAGATAAAATCAAATGGTAGCATTGTTTTTATTTTGACCACCCGCATTGTCACAAGTAATCTTTAGACGTTTTTCACCTTTATTCAATCTCTTAATTCCATCGAATACCATACTCAACGTACCATTGAGCCTTTACCGATAATTTCGTTTTCATCAAGAACGTAATTAATTTGTTCGCGTATTGCTTCATCTTGTATACCAAATAAATGCACTTTACACGGACTAAGATAATAAATCTTGCTTACCTATTGATCAGAATGGGGAACGTGAACGTTTTGCGCTCAATCGTAACTGTAATGAGCAGTAGCATCAACGCTACAATAGTCAACTTTACCTCTCGTCATAAAATGCTCATTTACCAATTTTCTCTGTTGTTCTGCTAGTTTCGTATTTTTATTGTAATAATTTCTTTCTAATTTAGCCTTAACCAAATGTTCTTTGAATTTTTTCAGTAAATCTTTTGCCTCTTCTTCCTTACGAGCATTATACTATAATAATTACAACTACCCCGAGGTTTTGTTGCAGGAGCGTGACTTGTATTACAGTGAACTCTCCACGAAGTGTGATGCATTTAGGGAGAGTACAGTAAATTCACGTAATTCTGATACTTTATTTAAAATATTGATCTATGCTTGTTTGTCGCATCGTATTAGCTTTTTTCTCTCTACAGTCAAACCTCGCCATATCGATATTTTCGTTCGGCAAAAATTTATCGGTGAAGCGGGGTATGGGTTTTTTTATTTTCTCCGATAATATATATCAGGGGTGTCAATAGACTAATAGTTGCGAATAAAATTATCAATAGATGTTTGCTTTTTCTTTGAAATAGAGTGAGCCAACAAATCACTTCTTAAGCTCCGAATTTTAAAAAGTATGCTTCTATCGTAAGCAAACTCAGCGGGTGGGTTGGAAAGAAAGTCAGACAACACCTGTAAATTTTCTAAAGCAGACTTAACATTTACAGTAGGATGAATGGTCGATTCTTCAATTTCGTCTTCCTCTTCTAAGAGGGAACGATTTACCATAGATACTATCTCATCGTCATTTATATTTCTCCCTTCTATTTCTTTGTCAACGTTCATATATTGCTCCGCTGATATTGAGTTTTCCCAGCTTATACGATCAATAGAAGATTGTAGATTATTCATTTCTAACTCTATAACGTCGTCGTCATCGACGTTCAATTCATCAACAGTTGACGTCTCGTTATCAGGTGGTAAGATGCCGGTTTTCCTCCAACAATTCTTAATGGTGGTTTCCGTAACAGCACTCCACGCCTCGGCGCAGTAAGTTATAGTATCAAGAATATTAACAGGAATAATATTCGAGTTGAGTTTATGAGAAAGATCATGTAAGAACTCACTCACATGAACCTTTCCCAGGTGGACATCAAATATCAAATAAGCATCAGGAGATATTGAAAGAACATCCCATAGTTCAATTGTCCAATAGGGTGGGTACATTTGGTAACATAGTGAAATGATGGATCGCACCCAAAAGTTTTTGCCACCAAGCCATCTTATTATTTGCAGTTCGTTTTTTGATATGATGCTTGTTTCTAGTTGTCAAACATAATAAGATACAAGTTAGCATAAATCATTCAAACCATTCTCCCACTTTAATACACCATTGTCTAAGATTAGGTTCAAGAAGCAAACAGCATATCAAAGCTGCTCAAATAAATGGGATATATGGTGATATAATAACATTACTCTCCTCTCCCTCCGTTTGACCCCATGACTACTCTATAAACCCCCGTCGCTCCTCTATTAACCCATAATGTCTCTTGTCCCTCGAGTTCGTATAACCCAGCTCTGCTACGATTCAGCTCGTCCCAACCGATGTGTTGTCACCATTCGTAACTATCCTCCCAAAAAACGTGTATTCATTGCTTGCTTACCTTGTTTAGACTCATTAAATTTATCGGCAGTGTTCAAATATCCTACACCGTCCGCGCGTTCTCGTTTATGGTTTTTGGTACTTATCTCTCCAAACAATGTACCATAGGCTGGCTTGCAGACATGGGTATGTTTCACTATTTCATTTCAAATGCTAGAATACTAATACAACACACTGTGACCGTTAAAGAAGAAAGGTTGCAGTAGATGTTTGCATCTATTAACAACTATTCTTAAAAGTGTTTTCTCTTCAATTTCCCAAGCTATTGAGTAGCTTGGATAACAATATGCAAGCCTTTTTCTCTCGTGACTAATAGCTTCTTCTTCAGTGACATCAGAAAGAAGCAAAAGAACGTGTGCGCGTTTATATCTTGCTGTGCATATCACACGTTGTGGAACAATCGCATAATTGTCCAATTGTTGCCCGGTAATTAAAAAAATTTTTTATTTATTAATTTAGATGTAACCCCGCATCTACCCTAATAATTTACTTTGCTATTCCGCAATTATATATTCTCCAGTGACTCAAAACCATCGAATAAAATAATTTACGCCACTGGTCTTCCCGTAAAATGAATATATTTATTATTCCCCCACCACCAAAATCAATACTCTTGCTAATTATCACCAACTTCTTTAGTCACTCAAAGCAGTTTTTCCAATCGCAATCTGAACAAATACAGTAGCTAAAATAATAAATCGCTTGTACATGTAATACTACCAATATAATTTTATGAAGTATTTATAAACGCGAGCTATACTCCACGTTCACACAGTACTTTTGACGCTATGTCACACAATTTACTAGATGTCTTCTCTCACTTACTGATTATGACAATGCATACAATTAGATGCTTCATCATACTTTTTTTACCAGACCCTTTTCAACGAGCATAAGCCTCCAAGTAATCAATTTTTGCTTTAACTAATTCGCAACTCTCCCAGGTAATCTTCATCAACAAACAATTGGAAATTAAACTCACTTCTTCACAATGTCATTTGCCCACTGATGGTCATCGTAAACAAAAAACACCAACACAAAGGCAAGAAAACACACAATCATTAATTTATCACTCAAGTAAAAAATCTTAGCTCTTAATTATCTCACCACATGTATCAGGTAAATTACAATAGCAATTGTTCAAAAATGGTCTCGATTGTATTACGCTAAACCGAAAATCGTAAACACACGACAACCAATTGGCAATGAAACGCATTTCTCCACAATATCATACAGTCATCCCCATTGTCCGAAGCATAGCACAAAAAGCACCATTGACAAGAAAGCCGTCCACCACATCTGAAACGGAACTCGAGTCATTCAGTTTCGAATGAAGAAGTAAATCCCGACGAAGAGGCGTGCAATGATATGCACGCTGAACCGATTGAAGACCAAACATAAAATAATAATTGCAGTACACCCAAATCAAGGCGAACGACTGTCCTCGCGAAAATTAGTTCACGAAAAGTAACTGTTTGCTTATTATATTAAACTTAAATAGATTATTATGTATTATTAAAACATTCATCAAACGCTCTGAAACTACACTGAATACCTCCTTTTTTTAAAGAAAAACTCTGTCATTGCTCAAATAATACTGTGCAAACTCTACATTTTTATTTTGAACAATACTTTCTTCTATTGCTATTACCATTGTTTTTTTTTTAACTGTTGCCTGTTTTTAATAAAATAAATTCATATCTTACCACGCGATTGCATATTTTTAAAGTATCATTAATATTAACTTATATCATATTTATTTGCTCCGGGAACTCATCGTTATGGAATGTATGATGCGTCAGTAACGCAAGAAAAATGAGCCTTTATAAAATGATAAAATTAATACTAATACTAATGCGACCATTTACGGATACATACACGTTATTGGTAATCGTACTACGGTATACAGAAGAATGCGGTTTCTCGGAGACGTCTGTGTATCTCCATAATCCGCCACTTTGTTCGAAGCAGACAGATTGCAAGTCAGCGACCAAACATTGCAATTAAACCAGTAAGACCTTAATTTAAGCACGTGAGAAAGTTTCGAAGGGGAAAATCAATGTTCATTTTCTATCATACCAGCACCGATAATTGCAACACGAGGTTTATAGACATATAGTTCAAGATTTAATGATGTCGCAAGAATTGTAAACTTGTCCATCAATACGTTAAACAATACCTTATGTGCGTCACGACACCTCATGATAAATATTTTACACCTGGGGTGCTATATAAGTATTGGCATCAAATCAAATAAAAAGGGAAAAGTCAACAAAGCACAAGCAGATGTATAGGTAAATAAGCATACTTAAAATGGTGTTACATAAGTTTTTGTCTCAATAACAGTTTTCCCAGCGCTGTTTATTAATCTTTCGAAATGTATTTCACATTCTCGGTTCATTCTCCCAATAAAAAACCGCCATATGGGTCTACATGACGGAGGTGAATTCTTGCTGCAACACATTTGAAAGCTATCAAACAAAGGAGACTAAACACAGTTTCTTTCGATCATGAGCAGTCATTTAATACAAGCGAAATATGCGAGGCCGGAAAATCAAACGGGAATGGTCTTTGTTTTGTGCCCATAACGTGATTTTTTGGTTTCTTGCCAGTTAAAAATCTTTGCGATTTGTGTCGCAGACCGTTTCCTTATTTATCATTGTTTACAACAAGAGCAGGTAAAAAAAACGTTGTACTGTGCGCAGTATTTCCTGTATCAATAAAAAATGCTAGCTTTATATCGATTCGTGTTAGGCATTTATGTTACTGTCCAACATTCTATCCCATAGTAGTCCGATTATGTAGGGGGGTTTCCCAAAACATGACCATATTATTTGTCGTAATAGTAATGTCCCATCGTTATCTATTGATGTGATCGTCACATGATGTAACGTAAGCACTAAACTCTATGACAAACTTGAATAATAATAATAACGACACAAAGCATAATCGTATCGCCACCTGTTTGCGGATCCAATCGCTTTTTAGAGATCCAAATAGAGTAGAAATACCCTTTACAATGGAAGGTGTAAGCACAATCACGAGGCATAATGGCGTGTGTATGATTTGTTATAGTATATGAAAATACAAACAGGCTTTTCTATATATGAATGATTTTTATGCAAACTTTGTGCTTTTACTGAATGCAAATAATTAAATATTAAACCGACTTAGACAACAATTATTTGAAAGATGTGGTAAAATATACACATAAGTCGCGCAATGGCAACAATCTTTATACTTTGCATTTACAAATTACGCATTTTTTATATTAATACACTGCTATACTTCTAATTTCTCTAATGTCATCAATTGAAAGCTACCAATAAAATTTTGATTACATCCCTCAACTATAAAATTAAAAAAATCCCAAATCATAACAGACGATCGAACATGAGAACTATTCCCCTTTTTCTTTTTTTTTTCTCCCTCCGTTGTTGTTTTTTTTATTTTGATGGCCTTACAGATGCCATTGGCTGTTCACTTATTGCTTGAAGTATGTTGGCAACTTCGGCGACATCATTTTGTATAGATGTCTGGCTTGAATTTATTATTGATATTCCATCACTGTTCATAGAAAAAAGAATGCTTGCAGCATCTACAATTTCCGCATCTGTTTCTGTAGTTTGCTGCTGAGAATTTTCAGATGCCAACCTCTCCGCAATTGTTTCATTTAGCGTTCGTAATACTGTTGCTGCCTCCGCTAGATTCTCGTACTCTTCTTGTTCTTGAGGATTTAGACTATCCCATGTCGTCTGTAATTGCTTATCAATGTCTTTTCTTGTTGCATACATATTCTCTGGTTTTGCCTTATATGACGGTCGATTTTTTTGGAAAAAGACTTCGCGTGCTGTTTTCTTTCGATGAGTCCGTGGTTTAGCCAATTGCATGTTTTCGCCATTTTGACTTTCGGCATTATCCATACTTATATAGCCGTTTTGTATTGGTGCCGACACACTCTGTATTGTAGCTTCACTGTCGATGGGTCTTTTTAAGAATTGAATAGTCTGGTCCAACAATATTTCCTGCGGATACGGAGAATGGACAGCATTTTACTACATAAACGATCAAGTCAAAGTTGGATTAACAAATCGCATCAGTGACAGTTCTGCATACCCTTGTCACTGTTTCAGTCAGACCAAGCAACTTTGATAATTCACAAAGATCTTCTGTTTCCCACTTCTTAAGTCTTTCATAAAATCGTGTTTCTTCCTTCTATTATAAACACCATAATTTGGACACACTGTGAATGTCTATTTACTACGACGAATTCATCATTCGATCCTCAAATCAACAAACCTCATCCCGCGAAACAAATCCCGAAAATTGTCTAATATGCCGTTTTACTTCTGCACGAGCCCCCGCACGACGGAAGAGAAGTTTATGGAGCAAGACCAGCAGTTTATCTGAGGACTTTAACCGGTCAATTCTACCGGATATTTTCGGAATTTGTCCCAATGGCGTCCCATCTCCCTGAATTTTCAATTGCATACGCATTTAATTAGAAATACCCACTGAATAGTCACCAATAGTCGAGGATAGATCGTATGAAACTTATCGATTGGATATGAGCATATTGACACACCTGCTCGATCTCGACTTTACGCATGGTCGGGCACTCCTCTTCAAAATCATACTTTCTTACCGGGTGTGGCCCCCGTTTTGGCCTCACCAGGCCGGGAAGAGAGTGGGAATCCATTTTTCGACCCGGAATGGTTGGCTCTTCATTTCCCGAGCTTCCTTCCTCTACTTTCATCGATTCTGGTGGCTCTGGAGGCACGAAATAGTCGCTGAATAATTTTTTGACGTCATAGCTGTCTTTGGGGTCGTTGAGAATTGTTGAAAGATTCATTCTAGTTGATTATTAAAGACCAAAAGTGTATATGAGAATATGTAGGGATAGATCAAATGTTAAAATGTGCCGATCGTGGATTTTTCATGTTAGCTTCACGAACTGACGATCATCACGTGATTACAGTAAGTGTCTCACCATATCTGATATGGGAACAAAAATTGGTTCTAATCTATTCGTAGCGAAGAAAATAGTTTTCAGTTGCACTTACTATTAAAAAAATATGAAATACTATATTTTTCAAAGTCTTTTCACCCACGTTTTGGAGTCGATTAATCGTATGTTATGAAATAAGCAATGTTCGGTACAAATTACACAGATCGTTAATCATACGATCAACAATCGAGTGACTGTCGTATGTCAATACTTTTCAATTCACAGGATACCTACTAGGATATTCTTATGGGCATTATTATCTAACTCTGAATTGATGTTGGGAAACGGCTCGTATTTTTATACCTTATGAAGTAAATATAGTCATCTGATGTATCTGGCAATAGCCCCAACTTGACGCTGTATGGAATTTATTTGGTTGGGTCCATTCAACCATTCATAACAATAAATGGAAGAACAGTTTCCATTTACACATTAGTGGGTGTGTATAAAGTATTAAGTGTAGTGTAATAAGACATCGAAAGACCATTAAACTTCTGCTTTCTGCTATTACAAAAATTTTTAGCAAACGAACCTCTTTCTCTTCTATAATTTTAAGAGTAGGAACACACCAAGATCTATCATTTTATGATAGTTAGAGCAAATCATAGTATTCTGCAACTTGTGAAGGTTAGAAATCATGTGATTACAAAGGATAAATTGGCAGTATCCCAAAATTCAAGTTCTGTTTTTTGAAGCCATGTCTCCGATAACATCAATTAGTAATCTTGTCGCTTTGTCAAAGTAAACCCTATCCAGCATCCAGTCCAAAATTTGTTGCGATGCAGCAGTCGCTTATTCGAAGGATTTATCCATTGTCCGTAGTCTCAGCTATTAGTATTAGTAAATCCCGTTATTGTTGACTAGTACTAGACTAACTCGGATTATGATCTGCGTATCTGCTGCAAAATAACGAATATTCGAAATAGGCACGTTGTCTACTATCACACCGATAATTAACATTGTTTATGTGATAATATCGAAACAAAATAGTTTCCAATTTGGGCCAGAACATTTTACATTGTCACGAAATGAGATACATAATTGGTTACAAAAATAAAAATTGATTGTTTCTGTTCTGCACGTCGAATATGTGCTATAAACACCTCTACAATCGGAGATTATCAGTAATCTTTATCAATAGAAAGATCTGCGTTTCTGTTGCTATTACAGTAAATGACAATGGAACATGTTGATTGTTATTACTATATTAATATGCAACAAGGCCAGCCACGCCCCATTACTGAGCCGCATTTAATTTCAGACTATCCTTACGCTTGTAAAGAACACGATTGATATGTCTTTCAGGTCTTGGCTCGCTATCGCTGTAATCTCACTAGTGTTAGTTTGTCTACTGCTAAGTTTCCCGAGGGAGTTTGATGTTCCCGAGCAAGCTCGTTCACGATGGACCGGATATTTGGCGTGGCATCCAGAAATAATCGGTAAAAATCCATCCAATTCAACTATAATTCACACACGAAACTCCATGACTTATTCCATTCCCATGTTTTATTCCAAAATCGTTGAAAGATTTTGATCAGCAGAAGGGCGATGCGTTCACGCTCCTTTCCATAACGTTAATGGGAGTCCTTGGCTATTTATGCATAAAATGGACATGCAAGACTAATCTTTCACCAAAATATGTCTCTTGTTTCTACAAAAACGGAGTGTCTATTCCAACCACACTTTTCAATCAGCTGATCTCAATGTACATATTCATGACCTTTATTGCTGCAATTGCGTATTTCGTTCTTGATGTAGGAAAGGTCTGGGCTGTGTGGGGATTGCTGCATAATATGTTGGAAATTGCAATCCTGTTGGTGCTGCATAATAACGGAAAGATTAAGAGTAATTGGTTTTTTGTGTGGATGGGATTGTATATGCTTGTTACGTCAGTGTTTGGCACTTGGCTGGATTGGCCGAACGACGGAATCTATTTCAAAATACAAGGTTAGTGGAATTAAAGAGTTACGGAAACGATTCGGCCAGTGTTTAGAACGCTTATTGACTCGACTATACTTTTGCCACACAGGTCTTTGCACAGATTGGGCATTTTGGCTTCAATTCACCCGAATTTACCTAACAACTCGTAAAAATCTCGGGAGTGACACATCCGCGCAGATTCCTTTTAACACTTCACCGCCTGTTGCCAACGACTCCAATAATGAGTTTTATCCTCGAATAGTAGAGCATCCTCAGCAATTGCTTCTACTGGTACTTGGGTCATTCATTCACGTTATTGGTAACATTGCGAACTCTGTTTGGATCAGTAGCGCTGTCGCGTAAGTAACTGGATCTTTTCTTGATAGTTGATTAAGTGATATTATCAATAGATTGATGTTATTTCTTTCTTTCTTTCTTAATTTATGCTGTATACTCACCGATTACGAAAATGCGTTGTTAATTCTTAGGTTTTATATATTCCAACTGAGTTATTGCACAACCTTCCCTTTACTTGCATTTTATATCTACTTGGATACGCATTGCACTGGAATAAATGGTCATAAACGGATCTATCTGCCGGATACTTCACGGGGGAAAGTTGTCATTGTTACTCTCTGCGCATTCGTACTCGCATTTGCGACTATGAGAATAGCATTCTTTGTACCACCATCATAAAAGTCAACTAAAAAAACTCTTTGTTCATAGTCATCTATTTTATTTATTTAAGGAGCTTAGAAAATGGTGTTTGCAAACAAAGTTTTATTTGATTCGTAAATTAATAAACGCGTTTGTTTACAATTGTATATGGTCGCTACCTTCAATTGAGGGTGTTTGTATCAGCAAATTTGAATTATTTCGTTTACGAAGCATAATGTTAAAGAGGAATGCCCAAAATATAACGCAATTTATGAGTGAAAGAGTGGGTGCAAATGTCACGCGTATTTCGTCCATGAACCGGAGATGTTGAATTAATAAAGCAACTTCTAATATTTCGAATAAAATTTAATTTATCTCATTATATTCTGTAAACGCGCCTTTTTGTTACCATTTTTTTGTAAATTAAACCATACCACTCTGGCAAACCCCCTACTTATTACGATTTTAATGGCTTTCTAATTTTTCGTGATAATCGATGTTCTATGGGCTAATCTTACTTGCGATACAAGATTCGATGCTTCGGAGCATATTTTCAATTGAATTCATTAAAAGAAATTATCTGTAAAGATAACAAGTGCGTTGCAGATAAAGTTCAAGCAAAGCAGTCGTCCGTTTTCTAAATTATTTATTGTCTAAAAAAGCCAGATCCACATGCAGATTCTCGAAAACCTAATCTACAAACTATACATGAATAATGCATGTTGATGGATTATTGATAAACGCATGGTTTATATCTAATACAAAGTCCTTCAGTCTGGCTTAAGATTATCATGTATCGCTTCTATATACGGCACGATCTAATTCCTCGATGCTGTCTGCTTAACAGTCTGGACCGCATACCGCATACCGCAAACCCAAGGCAAAAATCACCATGCGTCAACCCATTTTCTCAAAGATGTTGGTCCTGCACGGCATCTTGAAAACGTTCTAGTGACCGTAATCAGTAGAGCTAGGTATTATATAAATGATACGTTCTATTGATAAATAATACACAACATGCTGATTGTAAATTTATTAGATTTAAATAAAGGTGTCAATGAATATTATAACAAAGCTATTGATAAGTTTTCATGATAAATAATTACAAACTCATTGTTCAACTGTAATCTCTTGATTTGACGTAGATTGTTCCACACTTGCTGTAGAATCGGCTTCGAAAATGATACTCAGTGTTGTGTTATCTTTTGGGGTCATGTCATTCTCCAAATCCATCGGTTCCAACGTTTCGCTGCTGTCGTTATTTGGTGCATTAGACACACCAGAGTTATTCTCTAAATTATTACGTGAAAACTCTGCCTCCTCTGATATATAATCAAGTTGTTGTTGCTTTAATTGGGTAAAACGTTGATTTGTTGATAAAGTATCCGATTCTGTTGGGAGTACGATACTGCTAGCAGTAGCATTCGGTGCATATATACTTGAATTTGATGTAGACTGATTATTCGCCACCCCGTTATATCCATTGATTAATTGATCGCGTGCCACCATATTCTTGTCTTCTTGTTGTGTAGGAAGTTGCGATTGATGTGCATGAGCACGAACTGCATAAACGTTCTCCTCAGATGAGAAGTCAGCTATATTGTTTATTTCTGGTGTTAGATTATTAATAATTGAAACTGGTGGAAGTACAGTAAAAATTTCCGATGATTCGTCTGCAGTTGTATGTGCGCAAAATGGGTCTGAACCTTGAGATGTCATCTAAGAAGTGACAGTTAATGAGTGGAATACAAGAACAACGTAACAAGATTGTACAACATTATTAATAGTATTGTATACTCATTCGCGAAGATACTTACAGCTTCGAGTAATGGGTCGGCCAATCCTTTTGTGTATATTCTTTCGTGAATATCAACTTCGGCGCGAACAATGGTTGCAACCTTGGATAGAATAAAATTCAAATTATTCTGCTCGTGGTCAAGAGTCTGGTGATAATATTCACTCTTGAGCTGATCCATTTGCTCTACTTGTTGTGTCAAATCTCTCAGAGCCTATAACATACAGCAGAGTTGTTTTATTAGATGTAAAGCAATGCCATAAATATTCAGAAATGTGGGACATTAACAAGGAAAAAGAGACCAAACCTTTCTAAATTGAGCAAGATCTATCACGATAGAATAAAGATTAAATTACAGTCAACAAAAGCTGATATGGCAGCAACTTTATACACCAAATATTTGATATGAAATATTACCCCTCTGTTTCTTTCTACCAATTCGTAAATTCTCTGCTTCAGTTTCTTTAATCCTTTTGCTCATCTCGACAAGAGTTTTGTCATAACTTTCCTCGTTTGCAACAATCGCTGATTTGTGTACATCCAAATTTTCCAATAGCGGTATCTCAAATTTCTTATAAAATGAATCACTCTAAAAAGCGACGGATTAATAACCTACACACACTAAAAAAAATAGTATTAACCCTCATGCTTACCAGAACCTGTTGATGATTCGACATCAAATAGTGTAATCCTGCGGCTGCTTGCAAACCAGGACCTAAAATGCACAAGTGAATACGGGTAAACGACCGATTGCTTGCGACGGTTTTGCGGTGAGCACTACCGAATATAATAAACACGAACCAGCTTCTAGCGCGCCTTTACATCGGGCCATTCGCTCCAATGCTTGACCGAATCCAGCAGTAGCTTGCGACAAGGCAATCAACTGATTTCGGTAAATTTTGGCTGTACTAAGCAACTGCTCATAAGCTTCGATTGATGCCCTAATGTCAGCACGAGACAACACGACAACAGGGTCGAATATATCAATCGTCCGAATAGACGGCGCATATGAAGTTGTCGTTCGTGCTGATAGAGTAGGCGACAAGCCGGGCGAGTTTGGTGCTGAGAACTTGTACATGATCGTTTACGAAAATAGTGAACTGGGTTGGGTTTAGGCGTTTAAATCCACAAGACATTTCAGGGGTTTGTACGAGAAACATATTTAGTAACACGTGTCGTTTCAGGGTTCAGCAATTTTTCTTATACAGTAAGAATTACAGTAATGGAGTGCCCGAAAAGGTCTGACAATGGAACATTTTTCTGGATGCATGTGGTTCGTAATTTGGTATTATAATAATATTATTTGGCAGAAAAAATCCAAAAAGTAACCTTTAATATCGCGATGACTTTACCAATTAATGGGATTTACAACCTAAAACTAGGTTGTTATTATTATGGGAGAAAGAGTTTGTTTTTTTATTTTGGAATTCTTTATTTACTCGTTGTCAGAAACCATTAGCTGACAAAAAAATCCTAATTCCATTTTATTATCTCACATTTCCTTTTCAGATATGCTATCTGAAATTTGATTTATTCTTCTGCTCTAATTCTCTGATCACTCACCCTTATTATTATACCAATAAGTTATTGTGTTTCTGAGTACCTAAAAGCAGTTCATGTGTTTTTCTGCTTGTCTAGCTACCCAACTGACACAAGTTTCTTTATGAGCAATAGTAAGCATAGGTGTCTTTAGAGGTAATAGTGCCGTATGTCAGTTGGGAATTTATGTCCATTCTGAATGGACATATTAATATGTCAGATTGGAATGTACCATCCAGTCGCCATGCTAAGCCATCAGTTTGTTGTGTGCACACCAGTACTGTCAATTAACTGTATAAGTTAGATGCCTATCTACTTGAATGGTCTGTATGTTATATGCCATGTATTCAATCATGTCGTAGAGGATATTATTAACTGAATTCTTTATACGTTTGTGGCTGATTTAATTGTACGACATAAGTAATCAAACGTGATACACTGTGAACTTTCGAAAGTCTATACAGTATCTTTTCAATTGTCAGTTTCCAAATGCAATATATTTGTGATACATCAAATTATATGCAGTTGGTCGATTACTCTGCCCCTTCCTAAGCTTTCTACTTATTTAGTAGAAAACAATTTCGTATAACTAAGTTCGCGTCGCCACCATCCACATGGCTATGGTGTAATAAAATCTTGAAATAATTGAACACGGTATTCATTATACAGAGCTGACGACAGACCTAATAGAAATGTAACATCGTATAAAGCTGCTTCAGCTCAAAGCTAGATGTAGTTGCAAGACTAGTTGCTCAACAGCTCGATACGCTTGTCGCAAAGCTGCCATCATTTGTAACTTAAACTGCCATCCTAATAATCGACAGTGCAGTAATGTTCATTAAATACATCGTTATGTGTAGTATTATTGTATTATGAGGTAAGATTCAGGTATTTATAAACAATATAAGATGAAGGCATTATACAAGTAGTAATACCACAAGTTCTTGCCATTACGTATAGATTATTATTCATTCTTTACGCTAAATTACAAATATTAGAAACACATCTTTTTATAACAAATACAATATGTTATATGCAGTAGGGTTGATGTCATAATGTCAAATAAATACTCTTATAATGCTGTTACCGGATTGTCTTTGCTATTCCAATCTGACACATATGTCAGTTCGGAACAGACATAAATTCCCATCTGACATATGTCCGTTCAGAATGGACATAATTCCAAACTGACATACAACAATAGTAGACTGTTTTGTAACTCAATCTTGCCAAATGTCTTGAAATTGTCATATGAGACACCCTCATGATATAATTTACAGTAATTGCCCATTTTCTTGTAGACAGTCTCAGTTTACAAGGAAATATCGATCTATTACTAAGGCTCTCATGTAACATTCTTGATGACCACTCACTTTATTGAATTATCACCTTTTATTCAGGTTTTTAAGATTATAATAGATGGTTGATATTGTGATGCCAGCCACTAGGATGTATTTCCTTTACTGAAGTGATCACATTCATAATTCAGTCACAATTGTAATGTAATTTTTCTTTTTGAGTGTTTTTATTAGATGTTGTTGTAATTTCTCAACAAAATAAAAACATTTATTAATATTTACTTTACAGAATTCTCTAGTATTTGAAATCTCACTGTGTTCTCTTGTCGAGATTGTAACAACCTTGTCACAACTTAGTTATGAGAGTCATAACTAGGTTGCTACGAGATAGTGATGATCTCGTCATGCGATTTGCAAACTCAGGTTACGATAATCGCAACAAGGTTGCTGCGAGATAGTAGTGACCTCATTACGCGATTTGTCAATTTCATCACAACTTAGTTACGAGAGTCATAACTAGCTTGCTACGAGATAGTAATGACCTCGCTTATGTGATTTGCCGATTTAGATGCAATCTCGCTACGATAATCGCAACTAGGTTTCAGTGACCTCACCGCCAACTGCATGCATTAATTGGGACCTAGCCAAGAAGCGAAAGGCAAAACCTGAAGTACAGGCTGAGGGAATGATAATGATAGTATGTTAGATTAATCAATTATTAGGTGGTTTTATTAATTATAGTAATATAAATATTTTAGTGAAAGCCGAAGGTACATTTAAAAAATATTGTTAATAACCGATAATAGGAAATATAATAGACAAAACGGGGTGGATATTTTTAGAGTCAATGGAAGACTTAGTAGCTAAAATAGAAAACTGTTTTGAAGTGGAGAAGTCAAAAGATATGATATCATTCCGAAGCCGACAGTTGGCAAATAAATACTGTGCTTTTTTATAACCAATTTCTCTAAAAAATCGCTTGTGCCACCATTTGTGCTACGTGGGGTGCTAAAAAAACGGGAATCTTTGCTATAAAAAGAGACCTTTGCTATAAGGAACTTCTGGTTATAAGGAAGATTTTTTCCAGTCCCGTAGAATTTGTTATAACCAGATTAGACTGTAATTATCAAATGCACATGCTTCTATGGACGAACAATTTATTATCTCATTGGAGAGGAATCTTTTTTTCTTGTAAACTCTAGTGAAACGACTAGAAAAAACGTGAGCCGTGAGAGTTAATGTTACTGTATGGAAAAACGGCAGGAATGCGTCTAACATCCATGAATGCAGAGGCAAACGAGCATGATACTGAGCTTCATTAAGCGTAGGATGATTATTCAAAAATCGAAATAAAATGTTCATGACAAATAATGTTAACGACTTGGCAAGGGCAGCTGATAGTATTCCCCACGTACATATTTCCAACTCGACGCATTCCTTTCATATTTCATGATCAAATTGACTAATTGACATAAAAAGGTTAGCTGCCTGGTATAATTTTAATTGAGTTTGAACGTCCAAAGTATTAAAGTTTCAAATTGTAATGGTTTGAAAAGTTATCTAATTTGGACGCGCAATATTAATTAAAAGATATTGTCCACAATTAATTTATTCGAAACACACCGATTTTGATGCTTGTCGGAATGCGATCAATGATTTACCAAAAAGTATTAACACTCATTGTCAACGTTGAAATAATGGTTTCAGTGAGTGAACGGAGCATGCGATTAGTGTCTGTATGTGCCTCTATGAGACATATTTCCACGGTGGAGACTTTTCACGAAAATTGGGTTTTGTCAGCCGCAACATACACGGTTGAAGTTCCCGTCTAAATAAGCGGAGGAATACGTCACCGTTTAATGCTCCGTATTCACCTTAACGCAGGTTTCTCGGACGCGACGTGACACTGTTGAATTTCCCCGCCAATACTACAGCTTGCGGCGTCCTAGAAGAGTGTATTGATCTGCACGCCCCATATAAGACACCCAATAATACATCATCAAATGTTTCTCAACAAGGTAATCTCCCCATACAGGTACCTCCCCACGCTGGGAATCGTCACACGATTGTGTGATCCGCTGCAGTGGAACAAAAGACAAAGGTGTGGAATGAAGATCCACGAAAAAACTCTCTAGCTTGCCGATTTAACCCGGCTGAGCCTTCCAATAAAAGTTTCACACCATGGCTGAAATGCGACCAGTCTTACACTTGTTTGACGTTTTCTCTCGTAAACTTTATATAGACGGGTACTTGTGTAAAAAAGACGTGACAAGTGGACCACAAGCACAGGGATGGGTGGAGTATTATATAGAACTGTGTGGGTCGTCACTTAAATTACAGCGAATCAATGAAGATGGGGTAGATACCAGCGTTCCCTCATTCTTCATAAACATTGCAAGCTCTAGTGTAAAAATCATTGGAACTGTTGACGATGAAACACAGGTGCGAACTAACGTTTTGTTGTTAGACACTGGTCAAGGCAACAAATACTTGATTCAGGCGCCGGATGAAAATAAACTTATTGAGTGGATTCGGGCAATCCAATTGTCTTGTTTCGAAGGATCAAGACTGAATGAAGTATTTACTGCAACATTACTGAAACGTCCGGGATTCAAAGAAGCCCTTTCCTCCCCAGTTTTGGTAAAGGGAAAGTTTGAAGGATACTTGCAGGTTCGATTTGCCGGGGAGAAAGAATCCAAGAAATGTTGGGTAACTGTAAGCGATCACAGAACTGATGAGAAGAAAAAGAAGGACCTGACATTCAATAGGGGAATTGCAATGTTTTACGAATCTAAGAGATCTAGAAAGCCGTTTATGTCGTTAGCTAATGTGTTACAAACTTATGTCATGTTTCCCGGAACTACCGCGTTAATTGATAGAGTAAATGAATTCCTTGTGGAAGGGTCACTTTTTCCATCAGACACTTCTCAGAACAAACCGGGAGATTTTGTGATTCTGACAGCAGATTCGCCAACTGAAATGGCAAAGTGGCTTGTAGCATTCTTTGACAGTTTTAAATTGTACGGCAGACCAAAAGAGCTTTTGTACGATTTCAAAGATCCCGCGTCGCCCCTTTTCGCTGTCCCTACCGAGAAAAGTAATGTAACACTATTTTTGACATTACAAGATGTTGAGCACGTCGACGTCAGCGAATCATCTGCAGACGTGAGGGCTGAGTTTGCAGAAATTGTTAGGAAGAATTCTGCACAATCTCATTCACACGGCACAACCTTAACTCCAGATAATCAATCTTCGCTCACAACTCAAAATCCTACTTCCCTTGGTCCAAATGTTCAAAGAAAATCCTTCCTTGGCTCCGGTTCACCTCTTCCAAGTCGGCCAAGGGAAGGTTCAGTATCGCCACTACCGTCCCAAAGGATTACTTCTTCGGTAATCAGTTCACCGACTTTGAAGAAACCTTTAACGGGACCAGGATCGAAAACGGTGGTAGCAGCTAAGGGTCGACATACACAAATTCAGAGTGATGATGATGACGATGAAGATGACGATGCTGATAATGATGATGATGACGACGATGATGATAAGACGAGAGATGATGAAGTAAAGGAAGAAACTACAGAAAGTGAGTCCGAGGGAGAGAATACGAATGAGGAAACAGACGAAGAGTCTGGGGAAGACGACCACATGTTGCGGCGTAACACTGAAGAAAACGCAAAGTCGTCTAGTTCGCTATCGCTTTTAGATACGACAGTAAATTTAATGCCTGATCCACCGGTTGTTGACTCGCCAATTAGTGGTGATTTGATGTCTGAAATTATGACTGCCTTTGAAGAGCAGAAGGACAAAATGCAACAATCCATCGAGTCACCGAAGAAAGCAGTGGATAAACCTAAGCGATCTGTGTCTTTCAAGAATCCACCAAACCCAATGAAAAAATCGCGTAAAAAAATTGAACCTCTTCCATCAGACAGTGATGAAAAGAAAAGTGATGAATATTCTAGCGTCGCAAGTGACGAAGAAAGTGATGATGTTGTAGATGTTGACGCTGGGAAAGGTAAGGGAAAGGCAAAGGAAGAAACGCCGGTACCTTTGGATAGTAAACGCAAGAAAAAGGCAAAGGTTGTTCCACAACCTTCTGATAGCGAAGACAGCGAAAATGATAACGAGGACGAACCAATTATACCTACTTTGCAGGGACATTCTCGATTGAGACCATCTGACATTCCCGGTAGACAAGATTATAGTTATAGACATGAGGATCAGCCCTTGGCTAGACCGTATAGAGCATCGTCACCTTATGGCCAACCGCACGGCTATGGTCAACCCTTGCCTCAATATGCGCCATATGGTTACGATCATAGATATCGACAGTCTCAAGGATACTACCCTTCTGGGGCAGGCGGTTATGGCAGGGACGAATTTTATGACAATGACTTGCAGCCCTTGGCTCAATCATCTGCCAAAGGGCGTCAAATGCGTGCCGCCTTACCCGATGACCCGCCCCGAGGTCGACCAAAGGGAAAGAAACCCTTAAAGAGTCATCAGATGGTTCCAATAGATGTTTATGAAGACGTTGACGGTGGTAATGATGTAGAGGGCTTAGAAGAGGATGATACAGAACTTGCAACAAAGAAAAAATCTAAAAAGAAGAGCAAGTCCTCTGGAAAGAAGAAGAAAAACAAAAAGAAAACTAAAACTGAGGCGAAACAGGTTATGGAACCACTGGATGTTAATATACCTGACATTGGCTCTTTGTCGTTGGATCAAAGTAAGAACGAGAATAAAGATAATTCCGATAAAGACACCTCGGAAGCTTCTGAAGGTGATAGAATAAACAAGTCTCGAAGGGTTTTCAAACCAACTAAATCAAGTGAGCGAAGGAACGTTACCAAGGGACAGATCCAAGACTCAAGTGAGTCAGATAAAACTGGTGAGGATTCCGAATCTGACGAAGAGCAACCACTCGTTTTGTTAGTTTCTGAAGATGGAGCGCCGCTACAAAACCCGTTGAATTACCCTCGGGGTGCATTTAACACGCCCTCCCGGTCACCATCACCCAATTATGCATTGGGACAACGGTACAGCAATATACCCCCAGGTGATTATTATGAAAACGAGTATTTAGACCCAAGAGGTTATGGTGAAGGAAGACGGGGTTCTCGTGGGTTCGATTATTACGACGATGATCGAATTAATGTGCCGGGTGGTTTAGGTGGACGACCCAGGTCAGCAACTGGACGTCGACGAATAAGTGGTGGTGCAGCGGATTATGCTCGCGATCAGTATTATGATGATCCATATTATGACGATCGTGGTAGCAATCCGTTTGCCACTCCACAACATTTTCGTCCAATGTCACTTCTCGGTTCGTTAAACAATTCTCAGCTCTCAGCCCGTCAGATGGAAGTACTAGCACGGGAGAGTGGGACCACTTTGATTCAATTAGAAGAGAAACCAAAAGATCCAAGGGCAGGATTAGTAGGCGCAATAACAGCACGAGAAAATGCTCGCAAAGCGGCTGGAGCCAATACTATCTCAAGACTAGCTGAGCTGGAGAGAGAACGTTTATTTGAAAAAGAGCGCGAACGAAGACTTGCTGAACAAAGATATTTGGCTCGCATGCCCGACAATAGGCAGCCTCTATATAGCATGGAAGGCGATCCCAGAATGAGAATGTATCCGGATCAGCAGCAGTGGGATGGTTACTCCCCGTATCATGATGGCTATGAATATGACGAAGAAGGATATGAAGAAGAATATGATGAAAATGATGATGTACCCATAGGGAGAATCACTGCCTCAACGCCCCAACCCCCAAGACAACCACGAAAACCAGGAAGGCGACGAGACACTGAATAGACATGAACATGTATATTTCGGAATTAATTAGCTCGTGCAATTAGAATGATTAGCCTAAGTTATTTCTCACCCTTGCCAGTAATGGTAATGCATCTGTAGAATCAGTCATTAGAACATTTTCGTTTATCTTCTCACCAAAAATAATCTCTTGACATCAATGCACACTGTTTATTAATCATACAGTATAGAATAAGATGGACATTATGCAATTTAGATAGAAGAGAAACTCTAGCAATGGCGCTGATTGAAGAATAACACCAGAGAATAGATATAGTTTCGCACAGAATTCAAGCGAAAGAACTTCCGGACTTTGGGTTTTATGCTTCGTATAGTTAGGCAGCATCTACATGCAGCGTTCATTGTGATTGAGAGTCACATAAAATCATGAACAATATATTATAATTTATAAGCTAGGTTGCAAATTTTATACTGTGCTTTTAGCTTTGTATGGGCCGATAAACAATCCCAATACTGTCAACGAGTGATCCAGCAGTTCCATGGATGCCGACCATCTCATGTCCCTCTGGTGCACTTAGGACAGTCAGTTCGGAACCTCCCATTCCACCATGCCATCCACTGCTTCTTCCCAGATTGGTTTTAAATTCTATGCCATCAACGTAAGCTCCGGCCTTTGCCACCAACGAGACCAATTTCTCTTTCTTGGTTAATTCAAACTTGCTCTCTGCACCCCCTTTGCCACCAAATGAAAGGCTCTTCTTGTTAGACCAGTAGAATTTTAATCCATCCAAGAAAACTCCCGAGTTAATTCTAATTTTGGAGACGTACGCGTTAGACTTGGGGAATATAACTTCAAACTTGCTACCACCACCTGATCCCAAGGTGCCGCTTTTCAACGCTAGCCCGATATCTGGATAATGGTTTCTGTGGGTTTCTAGGAATGATTGCGCGTCAACCAGCGTGTGCTCTTCTTGGCCCGTTGTTATAATGACCATGTCAAGTTTCTGCCCATTTTCCCATCCAACCTGCTTTTTAATTTCATCAATTCGTAATCTCCATTCGCGCGGCTGTTCATGTGGAAATTCGAAATGAGATTGAAACTGGTCGTTCAGCTTTACTTCGATGAGGGAAATTCCTGCCATGCATTTAACTAGAACCGAATCATCCAATGGCCAAAAGGTAGGATATGCGTGCTTATACTCTCGATCATTTGGTGGATCGGGTGGAAGTCGAAAACAAGGATGGAAACGAAGCCGCATGACATCACATCTGTGCCAATGAGCACCGTTTTCGTCTCCGGGAAGAACAGGAATATTTCGATGAGGCTCCTTGACAGTGAATGTGCGGTTCAGGTTGTTGAAACCTCTGCTCATTAACCCTAAAACAATCATGTTTTAATGACAAAAGATTGAAATAAACAGATCGTGACAACTACCAAAATTACCTGATTTTGAATGAGGCAAAGTCAATGCGTGTCCGACTTCATGTAACTAACAAACAAGTTGTTTAAACGGGGGGGGCTGTCTTTTTCATCTGAATTTGTTATCACTTACCATAGCACCGATGCCAATATTACAGCACCTCCACCAGGTATAGCTTTCTCCACAATCGTTTGCCAAATCTCGAGTAATGTTCGTGTCATCCTGGAAACAACTTACGACTTGCTCGAGGCAACGCGGCCAAGCATGCGTAAGATGACTCCCGAATATGCCCAAACGTATGTGATCAGCACCACCTCCTAACGCAGCATGTCCCCTGATCAAATCCATTGCGGGATCGTAGTGACTGTCCAAGATTAAACCAGCAACATAACATTGACGATCAAACGGAGGTCCATAATCTCTCAATGCTTCCATGAATATAGCAAATAGATCCTTTTTGTTTGGGTTTGGAATGCCTGGTGGTCTCTTGTACTGTTGAGCGCGGTCTGGATCGAGCAACTCTTCCCTCGTGTATTTGGTAGGTATTATGAAGATTTTGGCTGTCTCTCTCAGAGACGTTTTCTGATTAGACATGGTATCTATGTTAGCGCGCGCGTGCGGGGAGAAAAATAATACTTGCGCGGTAAGCATTTATGTTATTCGTCCATACGAATTAAAGCATTCTCACCTGGTTGCCATTCTTCATATAATCGAAAAACCCTATTTATTCAAGTGTATAAAAATTATAAAGTTGAACCAAATATGACCAACACAACTAACGAGTTTTCTTAATTGTGTGTACCTTCTGCCGAGACCATTGCGTTGCATCTGTTCGGCAGTAAATGCTTGCCATAGATAACCAGCACATCTTAGTTTTTCTTTAACCGATTCTAATCCATTCTCTCCAGATTGGCGTTTCTCTGCTGGAGCATCAATGACAAGGTTCGAGTCCGCTGCTACTAGAATTGCAAGATGTAACGGGGGATTTTGTAATAATGGAAGATAGTTTACTAGAAACTTGGTGGTAGCCGGGGTTGTTTGGTTCAAGTGACGTGGAGGATTAAATGTAAACGTCAACTCGTTTAGACCTGTCGATAAAAATCAATTATAAGGAGCGCGTTCTAAAAAAAAAAGTAATCAAAAAATTGAGAATCAATTTGCCTGCCTGGATCGAGATGCACAATGCACTTGAAATGCGAGTTAAACACTGGCCAATCGATCGACGGAAATGTCTCTTTATGATGGGTGACTGTGATTGTAGATTCAAATTCCGATTCGCTTGGTCCTGCTCGGCCATAGATCAAGAGCATAGGCTATTGAAGATGACATCAATTAGAAAGATATGATTTGCTAACTTTTTTATGTAAAGCAAATTTTTAACGATGATCAACCTGATATACCCATTCGCCATCATTAACGTTGACTATTACGGGGGCAAGGGGGTTAATATCTTTACTTATGACTTGCATCGTCAGAGAGTGTAATAGTAATAGTTGTCATGTTGTAGTTGTGCATGTTGTGTGATTTGATGATCATCCCTTTTCTGTGTTCAGTTTTCTTATTCGTGCTTTAACCTCATTTATTGTACAATTATGTTTTTTAAATATATAAATAGAGAAGCATAAAACTAATGAAATTATTTTTGTTTACTATTACAATGCATCCAAGGTCTAAATTTATGTCTATGTCAGTTCAAAATCAGAATATGATACATCCATATGGGCACAAATATAATACATTTCTTTTGTATTATCACACAAAGACTTGAGCAAGGCCAAGTGTAGTCGTGTATGGGACTAACATTATTGAGGAAAGGAAAAAAAATATCAATCCAAGAGCAATGGATATCGGGAGGGCTGGCAGTGCTTTCTGATAAATGGCTAATAGGAATATGGTAGCATTTAGACCCTGTTTATGAAATTAAAAGGTTAGTCGACATCAATTGACAGCTGATATTAAGTAAAAACATTTATACATACTGTTAATATTGCCACTGCACAGGATATTGTAGTTATCCAGTCAAACATTGCTATAAATAACAAAAAAAAAGTGTTAATAATATCAGGCAATTGTACTAGCATCATACCGTAATATACTATAAATAAACTTACCTGCCCGAGCAACTAATACGCTATAAAATACAAAATCACCCAACCCAAGTTTCAATCCACTCCCTGCCTCTACATGTTTTCGAGAAATGTTAGTATAATTCATGTGCTCACGCGTTACGATCTCTCAATACGTTCTGAAGACTAACCTTCATCGTCATCATCGTCACCATCCTCATTATTCGCAGTCCCTTCACCGTTATTGTTGCCAGTGTTCTCTGTAATTACAGTGTCACTTTGTACTATAGTATCGTCGTTAATCATACTGTTATTAGAATGTCTTGGATTTTCGGATAATGGTATATGTTCTCCAGTCTCGGTGCTCAGTTGGCGCATGTGAAAAGTAGATGCAGATGATAACGGTGGTGAAGCTTGGAAGTGATCAGGGGTTGAAGAAGTACGGCGTACCGTAATCGACAAATCTGGAGACGCCATTAGCCATATGGCGTTGACTGATTCCAAGAATGTCATAGAATTGAGATTATTTATGAGGCAACCAAACGTTAAACTGAGGTACGGTGAATTACAGTACCTGTATATAGTAGTGCAGGAGGAAGTCCACGTTTTTCTTCTTTAGCGCTTTCAACCAAGATCCTTAATGGCCCAAAAGGACATAATACAGCAATTAAATCTAAACAAATATACGCGATTAATATAATGAATTTGTCCTTTGTGAAGGAATCAATGCAGGTATGCTCACCCCAAATTGCTAGTAACCCTAGCAGAATCCAAGTTGTCCATGCTGATAGCTGAGAGAGACTGAATGCCTAAAAGGTGTATCTCTGTCAGCAACCCAAACTAAACAATCGACAATTTATTCATATCTACTCACCGTTAAACTAGACATAACAACTAAATATATTTTTTGTAAGAGTAAAGGACCTTTCCAGAATACTGATATCAACCCAACGACCGAAAAATTCCATAAAGCAAAGATAAATGTGACATAGTCTAACGGTACGGAAAAGGCTTGTAATATGTTCCTAGAAACCAAAATTGAGTAAGCTGTGCGCACTTTAAAAGCATTCGTACATTAATTAATACTAACACATACTCAAATAGAAGATATCCCATAAATCCGAGGAGTAGAATAACTGTAATCACCAAGATTCCTTTCAGAATCTGATCCAAATGGAATGTGAGCATAAATTCTAACTAGTTTACGCCAACAAGTGAATCCGCCCAAGGGGTAATCGACTACTGACCTTCATATGTCCGTATTTAAACAAGCATACTAGTGCAAAAGTAGCGACAATAACTTGTGATATTATTATCGCTGCAGTCACAAATGAGTCAAGTATATCCTTTGAGCTTGACGAACCACCCGATGAAAAATATGTAACAGATCCTTGTTGACTAAAAAAAATCGGATGTCAACATTCAATCCGCAGATGCAAGCACATGTTTACAATTATTCAATTAACAATTACCTAGAACCTGGCATTTGGTACGATATCTTGATCCATAATACTGATAGACATATACATAAAACAACAGGTTTTAGTATTCGATAAACCTGTTGTATGTAAAATCTAAACTCTTCAGCCTGCTTATCCGAAAGTTCTTCTGAAACGGCTGTCGATGATGAAGCTTCCGCGGACTATCAATTTCATAATAAATGTTAAAATAGAAATACTACAAAATATCTGCAACAACCAAAAGTCCAACCTGTTCCCCAGCACCGGTTGAAGTTCCCTCACGAGAATTGTTTCGCCTCCCTAGACGAATTCAAAGAACACGGTTAATGGATCTATTAAGAAAAGATCCTTTGCCATTCCTCCAAACCACTCACGTTTAGCATTAATAATTTGTGCAATATTTCCTCTCGTCAATCCCTTATGGCCTGTACTTTTACCCTCGCTACTTCCCCCTTCACGAGAATCGTCCATATGTTCATCTGTATTGGATTTCTTTTTCGCTTTACATTTCGAATGATGCTCGCCCCTCCAGTCTTCCTCTTGACATTTCTCTGAACAATATCGTGGTCCATCAAACCCACATGCCCTGCACAAAAAGAAAGCATTAACCCCGCAAACTTTGCACGGATGTGGCGCCGATTTGGAAGTGGAAAATGACAAGTCTGCCGATATAGTTGAAGGTTGACTTGAGGATGGATTTACAGCAGGATCTTCGCTTGAAGGAGAAATGTCGTGCAACGATGAGTCGGTAAAATTTGTATAAATTGATGAAGTTTGACTAGGTAAGGCGAGGTTGGGGTCGAGAAGGTCGTCGTGACTTGGTGCGGACATGCTACAAAGAGACGATTGGAGACAGGAAATGCAAGCGTGACGAAAGAAATAAATACGCTAGAAGTTTAAATTAATGGGATTAGGGGAGTTACAAAAAGCTAAGCGCTGTGTCTCTCGTTGCGCATAATACATTCAATACAGAGGAATTCGAAGAAAGATTATAAAAGTCCTCGTAAAACAGCAAGTGTGAATTAATTTTGGAAAGCCAAAGGATTGGTCGCAAGATTTTCAAATTTGGCAGGATCATTATCTAACGATCGTCATATCACAATACGCAATAGTTCTTGTTTACTGTTACGAAAATAGTTAAATCGCCTGATCATAATCATAACATTATCTGTGAATTCCATGCGTATTTAGTCACACGCGACCGTCAACACGAAACCCTCGGAATAAACAAGTATAGTAATAACAGCATTCAATAACGGTGTGTACAAATATATTTAGAAAGAGGCATTTAAATAAAGTAGAGCATGTCATGCCCGAGTGTCACAAAACTGGGTCATTAACAAGAAAACAAACTAAACATCAAGACATGAAGCTTTCTTCGTTTGTGTGCTAATGTCCTAATTAACAATTGGGTCGGAAATCCCGATAATGTAAGCAGCATTTTCTTGCTGGTTTAACCGTTTTGGTATAACAAAGTGCTTTCTTGTGTACAGGCGAGAAAGACCATAGAAATGTATCACAGAACAGGCATAACTTTATTGCAAAATTGAAAAAAATTGACTATTTATAATATAAATGTAAAGCATACAATAAGCTAAGCATAGTAAATTAAGCTTTTTCAACGACATACTATTAAATGTTACACGTGGTTTACGCATAATAATAAACGTGTGAAAACTTCCGTTATTCATGATATTGTTTTTCTTTCTTTCGTCAATTTGCGTTCAGTTTAGCGCGTTCTATGGATAGACTGCGGCAGAATCAGAATTCTGTCAATATATCGTTCATATTTTGGTGCATTTGAATAGCGACGGTTTTTAGATTAGTGACTAAGCTTAATAAGGTAAAAACTATTAATAATAGAAATAGCAGCAAATGTGCAGTATATTTAAATTATTTTAATTGCTGCAGACATGCAGTTTCCGATTGGGCCACGTATGCCTAAATTTAATATTCTTGGCATACCTGATACAAATATATATTATTAGTCCTTTGGGTTTTTTGTCCTTGTTAACTCCCTAGAAATTAGCCAACTCCCCCCCCCTCCCCCAACTTCATACTAATACTGAGAGGAAAAGAAAGAAATGCGATTACCGAACGCTATACGTCTGCCCACTTTTGGCCAGAAGAAAAACAAGTCAAACAGAAATGTTGACGCTACTTCTAGTAAAACAGCCTCTAGTATAAGTGCAACCACCTCTTCATCCAAGGTCATTCCCGACGCAACATCTGACACCTCCCCAGGTGGTGATGGTGTCACCACTAAGGTTGCTGGCAAGAAGCTAGAGCAACTGGACGAGGAAGAAACAAAAATAAATCCGAATGAATTCTTTGGGAACGAAACTTGGACTAAAAAAGAATTGAAATTGGAACTGTCGTCGGAACCAAAAAACTGGCTTAACGACATTGAAATTTCCACTAATTTTCGCATTGAAGGCGTTTCTGCCTATGAATACTCGAATCCCACCTTCCGTCCTATACACAGCACCGTCTTTGACCGTTTGGAGCAGCTGGAAAAATTGGCGACAATTCATCCTCCTCAGGATTCCACTCCTTCCCAGTAGCTTACGTCGTCTCGGTGCTTCAGGCGTAAGGTATAATTGCATGTAACCGACGAAGCTGAATATAGAAAGAAGCAGGAAACACTACAGCGAACCTCACTGTCGTTTGTTTGCCCGCAAATTGAATTACAAATTATGCAGCAGGTGTCGGAGGACAAGTCTTATAATTTATAATGCAAAAGTTATTGATGGGGGAATGTGATATCGTTCGTCTTAACAGTAGTGTTTGTTAAGATATAATGGAGGAAAAATATATTTTACAGAAATTATTTGGACATCTCATCCACCTTCTTTGGTGAGGAGTCTTGACAGTGAAAGCTGTAAATATCTGTTTTACATAGAGTTAATTCTCTTTTTATTTATTATTATTTGCATTATTAATCGGGTGTTTTGATTAGACATACAGTACTTTTCATGTATATATTTGTACTCTCTTCAATAAGAAACGTAATATTCATTCACAGATTTTGAAATGTGCCAATACCTTCAATGGAGCTGCAGAGCAAGCTTACCATCGTGCCTTGTCGTTACTAGTATCTCTGCGCGTATTATGTGAGGGCTCCTTTACCAAAAGTGCGAGATACTTGACTGATGTTAAATTCGGTCTGATAACGTAATTCTGAGGAATCGTTTCCGTCGTAAAAAGACTGTAAATAATACTATTCTCTACGAGTCGCTAATAATCGGTAGCAATCGAAAATCGTAAAATTGAATCCTGCATTTTATAGTCTACGAAAGATTTATAGATCTTCTGTAAGGAACGACAAAGCCATTAATGCATGATTCTAATACTTACACACCTGAAAGCTACAGTAATTGATATAATTTAAAATTTATATAGTTTGTAAATGTTAATCTTTTAACGATAAATTGTGATACGTCCAATCTGCAACTGACGAGAGACTGCATTCAAATAACTCTCTTATCCTTAGCCAAATTACTTGTCCCCAGCTTGCAACCCAGCATACTTTCCAATTTCTCTCAAAGCCTCAGCGGCAGTGCCAACCACACTTTCAACTTTACACTCCTTTAACAACGTGATCAATCTCTCATGCACCCCCTTCCGCACCATTTTCTCAACTGCCCCTTCCAACGTTGCCATATTTTTAAATATCTCTGCTGCCCGATGCATCAGCTCTGGCGACTCATCATTCAACAAGTCCAACACGACATCAACTCCTCTCGGTCGATCAGCAATCATCTGGCATACATCCGGACTAGTGGACAGGATAGCCAATGCTCCACTGGCAGCTCGACGTGTCTCAAAGTCATCGACGTCGGATAGAGCAAGCGTGATTTGGATTCTGTTCGATGCCGTAGACGGTGTACTATAAAGTGTAAAGACGGGTTCGCAAAACATCAAATTGCAAAGGCATTCCGTGGCTGCACGTCTGACTAACGTGTTATCCGAAAATTGCAGGTTTTCAATCACGGGTATTCCGTTCAAGGTATAAATGTGATGTCGCAATGCATCATCGACACTACATAAATTTGTGAGCGCCATCAAAGATTCAAATTGGCATAATTCGTTTTCACTTTTGCACAAATTGAGAAAAGGACGAACGAGATCCGATGCATTAGTACTATGAAATGCGAGTCTTGGGTCCAATGAAATCGCAATCTTTGCTAATGCTTGTGTTGCCAGTGTTGATATGTTCTCGTCCGTAGACTTTGAAAGAATTGACGTTAATGTTTTGGCGCCGCTCTGTTGGACGATTAAACCTCGATTCGTTTGGTCAGTCGCCAGATTCAAAAAGGCTTGTGCAACTAATTGAACAGTCGACTGGCTAGCTGTTTTTGTTAATGTATTTAGTACGGAAATCCCTCCTAATGTAATTACTTTCTTGCATCGATTTATAACGTATTTCTCAGATTCCAATGGATCTGGATCTATTGTGGTTTGTTCGCCAGCGAGTTTACGTAGTTTAAGAGCCTGCTCTTCTGATTCTGTTAGTTTCTTTCGATATGCCGTAATATTTGCCATAATGACCGCTATACCATAGTTAATAGCAGTGTTCGGCTTGTCAGACGGCTTGACTAAACTAAAGAGCACCTTTAGAAGCGTTGGATGATTTGTGATCAATTCTTTTACCGGTGGCTTCAGACTAGCATATGCCAATCCTTCAATAGCATTAGCGCGTGCTTGGTCGCTCGAGTTGGCATCGATAACAAGATTCTGAAATAACTGAGTTAATTTCTCGCTAGTACTGTTACTGTCCTGATTGGAAATTGATTGCGAAGTTTCAGCTTTATTAGCTGCCTTGGCATCCAAAAGAATTTTCGTCAACGCCACCGATGCCGCCATTTTTATTCTCTCGTCTTTGCTGTTAACCATATTTGACAGACAGTTACTAAGCTTGACTCCAACCGTTATCCTACTATTATTGTGAGAACACGCTTGTGAAAGCGTTTCCACCATTGCTAATTTAACGTCATCAGATTCGAATTCAATACAATCTTCAATATCTTCCAACAACCCCTCCTTATTCAGAATATTAGCGCCGGTCTGCGCATTTACTTGGAATAGGGTTGTGAGCGCACTATATGCAAAGAGTTTGTCTTGTTTTTCAGTTGAATCGAGCCATTTGTTTATTATATCTTCACAGCGACGAGTGAGTGTGTCTGAAGGTTTCTCGAATAATTTTGAGATTATCACAGAAGCAATTGATTTCGATTGTTCTGTGGCTGATGGTGAACCGAATGTCTGAAGGATCAATGAGAATGTATCTGATATTATGAGAGTATCTGCATAGTCTTCTTTAGTAACGATTGAGTGTAAGTGGGAGTTTAGAGCATCGACGCTCAATGCCATTTTTCTGCTCTATTCTGAAATGGGGAACAAGATGAAAGATTTCAGGGGGTTAAGGTCCCCATAATTTTTTAACGAATTACAATACAAACACGATGAATATACTGATACCCGTGTTTAATGAAACTCAATTAAAGGCCGCACATGGGAGATGATTAGAGTAATGAGAGATAGCTCTTTAAGTGAGCTTATTGAGGCCTCTCTCGATTCAGGTATATTACTGGACAATTGATAAATGAGAACATGATAGAAATATTATTAATTAATATATCACAATTTATTAACTCGAGTCGACAACACTTTTTTCATGATAGTAACGGCCTATCCGCCCAATAACCAGAACTCACCCACAACGTATGAACAAAAGGTATTAGATAATACCTTTGTTCGATTGATACTTACAGTATAATAATAATAATGACTCAAATGTGATTCCGAAAATAGCATACAGTCGGAATGTAATAATAACGCTATTGAATATTTTTCGGAAGTCATCTCAAACAATAAACATACTGAGCAATTGATTAAACGTATATGGTATTTAAAGTTGTTGCATCCGCTCTCGTTATTGAATAATATGTCTGTCCAAGCCATACTTTTTTGCTGAAGTAAATGAGGTGATGATCTCCGGCTTTGAATCAAGACATAACGCTAATTCTATTTTTAAGGCTTCTGTTATTATGAATGCAATAAAAACTTCTGTTTGATCATAACAGTCTTATTGTAAAAGAACGTTTATTTATGTGCCTCATTATTATAATTTATCTGCCACAAAAACCTAAGTACAGTATTACTCTATTTAAAAAGGCTTTATTATTATACACTTTGTTGTCGTAAAAAATTTTATCTGAGAATTTCGGCGGTTTGTGAGCATGAATATATTTACAAATAACGGAACCATGCCTTTTCGTCGGACGTAAAATTATCTTCATATTCATATTATTATCTTGAATGAAGAATAATAATAAGGCTGATAAGGAAAAAATCCCGCCATTACTAATACTAGTTACTGGTAGATCAGAAATTGATAGTGTGCCCAGCGGGATATCCTGGAACCTCGCTAAATGAACGTCTTATACATAAAAACAGCTGAAACTCCCTATTGCTCGTAATCAGTTTGTAATCGTTTGCAATCTTCTGTAATCTTCTGTAATCGCCCAGTAATCGGTTCGTACGTCTCGGGCTTCGCAAAGGAAATTACAACTTGGCAACTAGCGCATCGATCTCTACTCTCTCGGCCTGAATGATAAGACATCGCTCTCAGAAACATTCGAAGCACAATAATTACCTTGTGAAGTCCGATACTTATTTCAATTCAAGAACAGCAATTCACAATATTCAATATAAAAATATGCATTTCTATTATTCTTCGCTGTATGTACGGTAAGAATTTCGATCTGAAAAAGGAACCTGTTGATTTTCATCCGCAGGGCAATGTACAGTCAAAGCTCGAAAAACCGATCTGTTTTCGGTTTTCCACGAAAATCCGGACATTTTATTGGTGGAAGCAATTACATAAAAAATTCGCTAACGCTAACCATTAATCTTGTAATATTGGAATTCATAGAAATTGTGATAACATATGATGAAACTAATTGACTATCGAAGCCACTGTTGATAGTAAACTTTAATTCCTGTTATACAAAAAATAACATTCTACTACGTTGTACATAGCCGTATACAGTATTTTTAACGCCACACAAGCATGGCGCAATGATCTGTTCGGACCATAAGCCTTGTTGAAAACGAAGAGGTGGTTAACCTCGCTGTGCTCAGAAACCATATTCAATTGAGAAAATTTTCAGACTAATTATATTTACGTAAAATATTAGTCAATATTCGGAACTAGCAGACACTTGGGTATGACATATAAAACTACATATGTTCGTTGCATGCTTTAACATTGGAAAATCACTTATCGGATACACTTTTCATTATTATCAAACAAATGAAATTTTACTAGGAAATTGGACACTCCAATACCAAGAACAAGGGGAAAGAGAAGCAGCGTGATAATGGAGAAACTAAAAATGTGTCTGAGATAGACCTCATTGTCTTTGAAAGTGACAGCGATAATAATGATGACGATGACGATGAAGATTACGAACAAATGTTTACTGCAAATTTGAACAATGTGGAATTAAATACTCAATTAACTACAACCTTAGAATCGATTGTCAATGGGAAAGGCAGA